CCTTCGTGTGATGACACTCCTTTCAGTAACTAGGTACCTTCGTGTGATGAAACACCTTTCAGTAACTAGGTACCTTCGTGTGATGACACTCCTTTCAGTAACTGGGTACCTTCGTATGATGAAACACTTGTTGGCGACCAAGTTGCCAGGAACTGGTAACTTCACACGGCATGTATTACTTACTTAAGTTTGTTTTGTTTGTTTGTTGTTAAACGCCTCACTCAGCAATACTCAAGCTATATGACGGCGGTCTGTACATAATCGAGTCTGGACCAAACAATCCAGTGACTGACACCGTGAGCATCGATCCACTCAATTGGGATACGATGACATGCATCAACCATGTCAGTGAGCCTGCCTACCCGATTCCGTTAGTCGCCTTTTACGACAAGCATAGTCGCCTTTTATGGTAAGCATGAGTAGCAGAAGACCTATTCTACTCCGGATCTTCACGGGTCTATTTACTTAAGTAGAAATATGCATAGTTTTGATAGGTATGTCAGCCGTTTACATTCTCTTGCTAACTATTATTGTCTCCCTTGTTGATTTTGGACTAAATTTTATTGTACATATTTATGAATATATGTGTAATTATCGGTGAAATCATATCATTTTGCAATGATAGAACCAGAAAGATGCTACAATGTATTAAACAAGAACACGTGTTTAACGTTACATATAAAGATGTCGATAAAGACGGGAGTATTTGTTTTCAAGATTGTCTATTCTGTGTAATCAAGCTTGACATATGCATGTATCTAGGCGTCTCGGGCAGTTACGACGTGTTTAGACAGTATGCATAAATACACAGGAGTGTGGCGAAAAACATGATTAAAACAAATGATTGATATATAGACCATGTTGCATTCATTGTAGTCTTCCATATGCTGAATATGTATCTGAAAATAGTCTGACCAGTTGTGGATGGGTCTAGGTGGCACAGAAACTTGTAGATATGCATATACAGCGCAAGCATTGTTTTACTTACTTTTACACAGGCATACTCAATAGTATACTAGATGGCACAGAAACTTGTTGATATACACATACAACGCAAGCATTGTTTTACTTACTTTTACACAGGCATACTCAATAGTATACTAGATGGTACAGAAACTTGTTGATATGCACATACAACGCAAGCATTGTTTTACTTACTTTTACACAGGCATACTCAATAGTATACTAGATGGTACAGAAACTTGTTGATATGCACATACAACGCAAGCATTGTTTTACTTACTTTTACACAGGCATACTCAGTAGTATATTAGATGGAACATAAACTTGTTGATATGCACATACAACGCAAGCATTCGTAATAATCTGTTAGCATATAAACACATTATAAGTACGTGTAAATGCATTCATTTGTAATATTTGTACATTTCTACTTTGATAATTGTTTTCAGAATGCATTGAAACTTGAAGCAACTATATTGCTTCATTTGTTTTGTTACAATAATACCATATGTATCAATCATTGTTTATGTCGTCACTTTAAGTTCAAAAGAACCTTACCTCTTTCTGAACGTCGGAGTTACCGCTGTAGTAATACGTATCGCAGAAACCTTTCAAAATCCTGGTTTGGAAGTCGATGTGAAACTTAGGTTTTCACAGAATCCATTAAAGTGACACTTGTACAGGTAGGTCTTTTCATGACGTCATGTACGTCATACGTACATATACGTTTTGTACGTCAGGAGCTGATGTTATGGATAAATAGGACACAATATGCATACACTTCACACTGAAAGCGATTTTTTAATGTGTGCGTCGAGCGGATGGAATGAAACCCAACGTGTGCCATCAGAACTGTTCTCTGCAATGGTCTGTTCACAACATAGGTTGAGTGTTAGCATTTTCAGACAAGTACTGAGTTTAGAACCTTAGATTCCTAGCATCCTTAGGATGAAAGTAGCATTTCTGAATGACAGTCGTTTGATGTTCCTTTGAGACGCTATAGTTGATATGTCTTAAGACGTTCTATGTTTTATATTTACTTACATATCTATATCACCTGACGTGCATTTGAAATACAAGGGCGTTTGAATTTATCTGGTGTTTTTTGTTGCTTTGTCAGAAGTCCTCTACGAAAGTCTGCTAAATATGAAAAAAACTAACCTCGTTTATTGGAAGATATTCCTTGAGACAAACATGGAGTTATGTCGCAGCCATTGCTGATGATGAACAACGTTTATTCTTCTTCGCCCCGAAGTGATAAGTGCTGGAGCCTTAATAATTACCTGCATTTACATGATCATATCCATATGCCTCATTTTGCCAAGTGCAAAAACAATGTGATACATTTAATTTGAATATATATGCATCTATCATTATTATTGGCAGTTTTTATGCTTTTTTGTGTGCAAGAAAGTGCTGCCATGTCATACGATTTACTTTTTTGATATACAGCTACCCCATGCAAATGGAGCAACTGTATTCAGAAAGACTCGTAATAAATATTATTATTTTACTTACCCCCCATGTCTCATTTGTGGTAAATATAATTATGCAGCTTCGTTCAATTCACTTTTACCATGCCATGTTCCGTGTAGTATATTCACGCTACACTTTCTCCCGTTCAATGACATTTTAATTCCTCACTTCAGGAACATCATGAGTATGCATTTCTGGTGCATCGCATATGGCGGGGAACTTTGATGCTATGCGTCAACGTTATTCTGGTGTACCATAGTCACTGGTAATGATCCCCATCCTCTCTACTCGTTAATCTACAACGCCATCAGTTCCTTTTTCTACATCCGTTCTCGACGATGTTGTGAAATGACCAGCCACCAGGTGTCTATTTACTTACATCTACCAGTTCTACAGCCACACCAAATAATATGACGCCTTCTTCGCATCAGTACAGCCACACACTCCTACTGTGACGTCATAGTGATTGATGTGACACACCATCTTGGCACAACACAATTGACCTTATCTCCTTTTCAGTTATCGTTATGCATCTATGCATCTGATGGGTCACCCAAAACTAGTTCATCGAAAATACTTCTTTGTAAATTGCGGAGTCCAAATAATTTTCGGTCTCGTAATATTTTAGATCATTTAGCAAGTAAAATCCGTATCCCTGCAAGTGTTTCAGAATATTCCAGCTGTATGACGGCGGCCTGTAAATCAGGCCTGGTCCATAGAAACCGGTGATTGATATTATCAGGGAGACAATACATAGATATATAGACCCCCTGATGTCATGATCAACGGGGTATGACAAGATGCATACAAGTTACCGAGCCTGACTCCCCGATCAATTCGGTTGCCTCGATCAATTCGGTCAGCCTGTTCATGAGTAAGTCTATCCCGGAATCCCAAAGGGCTCCCCGCTTCTGAATATAAATTGTCAATGCTAGAGAATACCCAGCCAATATTTTCTGCCGAAACAGATTCCACTTGGCGTAAAGGGCAAATAGCTGTGGAAATACGAATAGACCACTGAAAGTTAGTGATGACGCCAGGTGTTCGCGAAAAGGGTAAGCATTCCCTGCTCTACCGGTAGCACCCGCCATTCATACAATTTGCATAAAAAGTAAGTCTTTATTGCATGAGTGAGTATGAGTATGATTTTACGCCGCTTTTAGCAATATTCCAGCAATATCACGGCGGGGGACACCAGAAATGGGCTTCACACATTGTACCCATGTCGGGAATCGAACCCGTGTCTTCGGCGTGATGAGCGAACGCTTTAACCACTAGGCTACCCGACCGCCCCTTTTATTGCATGACGCAGCACAGCAGTAGTTTTGCGACGTCAGCCTGTAAACAAACCAGACAATCAAGTGATTGATGAACCAGAAAATCCGGTGACACGAGAGTTCCATTACTGATATTGTTGAAACTAATAAAAACGGTATGTTAATTTTCAATTACGTCTACGAGTATTTAGATTTTCTGCATGTAAGTAAAGAGGAACGTTAAGAAATAAATTCGCCACACAGTTGGGCGCAGTTTTAAAGTGATACATGTAACCGATAACGTCACAGCGGGGATAGTCAACCATTGACTCACGTAACGGATTGTACCGTAGTTCAATATGGACACAGCTGTAAGGCAGCAGGAACGCCTCCATGGCCTAGCGGTAGAGCCTCCGCCCCCCCCCCCCCCCCCCCCCCCCGGGGGTTCGATCCCCGGCCGCGTCATACCAATATGGGACTTGTTGTTACCCTGTCTGGCGCTCGGCAATAAGGAGCTAAAACAAGAACTGGCTCAGGGTCTGTCTGCCATGTCTGACTGGGGTATTCATGTTAAACGTCGGCATGGTATCACAGGGGGCTATCACTATAACCTCGGCATTAGTCCGGACTCGTATTCACAGCTACACAGCCACACACACACACAGCCACACACACACACACCCACACACACACACCCACACCCACACCCACACACACACACCCACACCCACACCCACACACACACACCCACACCCACACCCACACACACACACACCCACACACACACACACACACCCACACACACACACACACACACACACACACACACACATTGTATAAATGCAATAATCTTGGGCGCGACGTTAAACCCCATTTCTCACACATAGACTCATTTAACGTAGTTCAATAAGGACACAGCTGTAAGGCGGAGTCTATATTAGGGTAAATATTGTGTCAATGGTCATTTTAATAGCGGAATTCATTATTCACAACATATGAATCAATCAGACTATTTCAAACGTTATTGCATTTATGTGAACATGAATAGCAATGAAATACCACTGACGTTATCAACACATGTGCAGTTGGCGATGAATACGTATCAAATGTATTTATGAAACTAGTAAAGAAGAATAATTTTGTCACATGAATGCATTGATGTTAGGGTGTTAACTCAGCCGGTGAATTGAACTCACTCAGGAACAACCATGCTAGTGTTATTACAGTATGGAGAGAAATATCAATACATATATAATACATCCATGCAAACAGACACACCAGCTGTTGTCGATCCTGTACACTTACGATCGTATTTCAAGAAGCTGAATATATAGACCATTTCCCATGTAGATTGGGCTAGTTTCAGTGATGCCTCACTGGGGGGAAAAGTGTCGCACATACCGCCTAGGTGTTGTCTGCACCAGCCTTGGATTTCTCGGATACATCCTCGCATTCAGTCTCCCCACCTGGAGCCACGTTTTTGTACCTGCTGGCGATATAGACACTGTAGAGTACGATCAAGGGGAGTATGTGAATGGTGGCCTATGGCTTCACTCGTGTGAAGGGTGGTCCAGCTGCCGACCGTTTAACGTTACACAACAGACGGGTGAGTACAGGGTGAAGAGAATCACACCTACACATGTACACAACATGGTTTGTGTACGTGCTCTCATGGAGTCAAACATTTGTATTGATGCAGTTGTTTATTTTGACAACACCACCGTAGATTTTTTCAATCAAATTGTTTATTCATGGCAAACTGAGAAGACATGCGTGTTTCTTCTAACATTGCATGATGTATGTACAATGCAATATTTTGTAACTCTCAGAGTATGAAGTACTCACCAAAACGTTAAAATACGTTTAGGCCATTAAAAAATAGGATTAAATCGAGTTAAATGAAATAATATATTTCAAATTATGTAGATATTACTTACTGATGTCTCAGTGATCAGTCTTGATGAGGTCATCGGTTATTTCATTTTGCTCGGCCCATTTCAGGTAGCAATTGTTAGGTAAGGGAGATAATTTGGTTATATGTAACCGCATGAACATCAATTTACAGAATGATAACAACTGATATGGTAAAGGGAGTTAATTTATGAGTTTATTACAAACATAACAGCTTGATTGTCCAGATGACTCGTGGCGTGTCTCATGTTCATGTAGGTGCATGTATATGCATACTGGATACATACATTTCCGAATTCTTAGTTATTTGAAAATAAATTTTATCTTTTGCGATTATAGGGAGAGTGTAGGATTGTGTTGAAGTGTTTCAAATATATATGTTATTATTATATTGATGAAATGAATCATTCTTCAGTTAAAACCCCGTCAGTTATTTCAATCACCTAATGTATCATTCTACATTCCATCTGTAGATTTGAAAACAACTATAATTACCATGCTTTATTTAATCAATTTACATCAATTACAACTTATGCCGAAAGCTTCTTTGCAGACACCTTTTGGGCGTCCGAAGTAAAAGGAATAGAATGTAGCTCGGAAAGAAAATATGTTGGTTGCTGGAGTAAGGTGCAAATATATTAATATTTGTTGTATTTAGTATTTGTTGGTTAGATGCTTTACCCACCACAGGATTTGTATTTGAAAACACTGAGTCACTGAGGTACCAACCAAAAGAAATCCCAGACCACCTTCCACCATCACAAAACATAAAATTACATTAAAGCGGGACCACCTCCGTTGTCTAGTGGTAGAGCGTCCGCCCGGAGAGCAGATTGTTCGGGGTTCGATCCCCGGTCGCGTCATACCAAAAGACTTTAAAAGATGGTACTTGTTGTTACCCTGCCTGGCGCTCGGCATTAAGGGGCTAAAACAAGGACTGGGCGGCTGGGAGTCAGTATACTGTGTCTGAGTGGCGTATTCATGTTAAACTGCGGCATGGTATCTCAGTGGGCTAGCACTATAAATCGGCATCAGTCCGGCCTAGTACAAGCAGAGACACACACGTGCATGCACATCGCTTTATACGTGCAAAAATCTTGGACGCGACGTTAAACCCCATTTCACCTCACCTCACCTTACATTAAAAAATTACCTACGGTTACAGGATAGCTACATCAGGACCATATCCGTGCAAGTGGTATTACTGTTCTACGTACCATAGTGTACCATGAGGTGTATCATCAGGTGTATCATCAGAGGAGTGCTTAACCACACACGTTGCTGTACTGTTGTACATGAAATAGTGCATGTTTGTTTACGTTGGAAAGCGTACTTAGGGCAGGACACGCTTACCCTTTTCGGGAATACATGGTGTCATCACTGATTTCCAGTCATCCTTTCATAGAATGTTACCACTATGTTTCCTTTCACACCCAATGGAATCTGTTTCAGCAGATAATCAAGACTAATCCTTCTCCGGCGTTGATGTTCTATATTTAAATAATTGTGTAAATATACTAGTATTCTTCCCCGCGAGTCTATGGCCAAGACACGATGCTTGACGTACAATTCTCTCAAACGAAGATCAGGTGGATTGTGTAACTGAATAATTGTTTACCTTGACGGTGCAGATCGATGAGTGTGCCAAATACCCAGTCGGCGAGCCAAGACCACATGTGCCGTGATATTGTCATCGTTACCTAACCTAATGTCACTTAGAATATGACAAAAAACATCGGACACATGTATGCACAGGCATAATAGCAAGTTTTATGTTCATTCAACGTTAGAAGGTTAGCGGGGGCTCTTGCTTGATCCACCATCGTGATTACAAGACACACGGACTGCCATGGAGGTCAGCGTGACCTACAGAATCAATACAACACAACAGAAAATTGCCTGTCACACATCGAAGTCTTGTCATAAATATGTTACAGCCACATAGTGTACTGCCTAATCCTAGCACGTACTACCGCTAGGAAGTTGTGGGATATCATAGCGTATAGGGCCCATAGGGGGTGATGAATCCAACGAGGTCGCTGAATATGAAGTACGCAATACTCCTTATTGATCCTTAAAAGAGTGATTTCATCAATTACAACGTATGTCGACAGTATTTGTGCCGTCACTGTCTTGGATGTCCGGAGTCAGACATTCAGCATGTAACTACATAAGAAGGAAAGGGAAGACACTACAGTAAACTACGGTTATAACGAACTCAAAGGGACTACTAATTTTAGTTCGTTATAACCGTAGTTCGTTATAAGCATATACACAGCATAACTACAGCAAATAGTCGGGACCAAAAAAGTAAGTTCGTTATATCCGTCAGTTCGTTATAAGCGTGTTCGTTATAACCGTGGTTTACTGTATTTGGTTGCTGGAGTAACGTGCAAATATATTAATATTTGCTGTATTATGGATTTGCAGGCTAAAGTATGCAGATATACAAAATAAATAGCTAGTCTCTAGATCTTATAATTATTAGTTGCCAAAAATATATTCACGTGTAAATACAAATTACACTATTCACTATTTTCTGGAAAAAAATCTTAAAAATAATATTTCATCTCCAAATGTTCAACTGCCATAAGTCGCAATGTAAAGATTTTCTGCGAATGTCCTCTTTCGCTGAATGTAAATAAATATAAAGCGTCAAAGCCAGAGAATATCCAGTCTCGATTGTCCGCAGAAACAGATTCCATTGGGTGTGACACAATAGCGGTAGAAAATTATATGAATGGATCACTGAAAATCAGTGAAGACACCAGGTGTTCGCGAAAACATTACAAATTATATTTCTGTGAAAATATAACATCTTATAGTTGTGCAAACTGTAATAAGGAAGCCATTGTTTCTTTTACTGTGAAATGTATGAAATGCAAGTCTTGATTCTTTCAGTCTTGTTTCACTCGGCACGATCTCTGGCCAGCGCGGCTCTCCTTTTGGCTGTCATATCACTGGTTCTTATACCATTATATAACTTCACCGGCTACTCCAGATTCCTAAAGAATGAAACTGAACTTGTGTCAGTATTTCCACTCATTTCAGGTAAGCGTTGCAAAATTTAGTTTAAGTTTCGTTTTATTGTTCGTCTACATTGTCTAATACTAATTTTTTGCCCGTTGGTCTGTGCAAAACAATGGTATTCAACTTGAGTTTACCTCAAACTGACCATTTACTTGCAAAAGATAGCGTCTGAATATGCTTTAATGGCCATTGTAAGACGTCGTCTGGCAAGCATGGGGCACTGGGAACCTTGGCCCCGGGATCCGCACTGAATTATATTTTGTGAAATACTGTGGATTAATGTGTGTATGTTCTCGGACCGTCTTACAGACAAGTTGATCGGCTCGGGGTTCCGATCCAAATGGAGGGAAAGATCAGACCTAACGCAGGACGTTTACCCTGTAGGTTCGACTGCAGCGTCCGTGTCTATCTACTGACCATAATACACGTCATAGAACTCTGGAGTAGAACACGTGCCCACAATCTCATGTTTATTGTGAGAGTTGCCCAGTAGAGATCGGATGTTTGCAGTAACGATCAGACTGAGGATGTCATCACGCCACTACGCGTGTCATTGCACAGCAACCTATGCTTTTCGCACGAGGCGGCTAAATGGATTGATGGTCAGGTTCGGTGACATACAGTTGGTTGTTATCATATCCCTTCGGCTTGGGACATATCATCCTGCATTCCATGATTCTCGTCAGAGTGGACCAATGAAAACTTCTTATTTTTTGTTTAACGCCACACTCAGCAATATTTCGAGCTATATGACGGCGGTCTGTAAATAATCGCGCTTTGACCAGACAATCCAGTAATTGATATCATGAGCATGATTCTGCGAAACCAGGATACGATGACATGCATCGATCCCGTTAGTCGCCTCAAGCATGGATTGCTGAAGACCAATTCTTACCCGGATCGTCGTGCGTTTATGTACAAAACGTCGTCATTTAGTTGGGATAATACTGAATGCGTTGTAAAACAACATTCACTCACTCATTCACGTTTGATCGTCCAGGTGTTCCGTTAGATTGTTTGCAAACTATGTTTATGTTGGATGAGTGAACGCGTTCCGCAACTTGACTCCTGGGAGTTTCTAGAGCTTCGGTCCTTCCCAACACCAAACCACATGTAGCATATATGTTGTCTCCTTAGGAAAGGGGCTCTGAATCGGGAATGGCAGTGGATGGGTACCCGGTAGGATGAGATGATAATGTGATACTATGATAAACCTTCTAGCGTCTCACGGGTAGCATAGGATGCATACTCTACAGCGAGCTGAGAATGAAAATCGATCTGTTGACGGGGGTAATAATATAGCTTTTTGAGCATGCATTATTGTGTAGATTTGGCGCGTTATAAGTATGCACATTATTATTATTATTATTATTATTATTATTATTATTATTATTATCATTTCAGGATTATTCGGAGCAGCAGCATGTATTGTATACATCTTCTGTCAAGAAATCAAGTTTCTGTACTGGGGCGTGGGTGTAGGCTGTGCTGGAAGTGCCATGGCTATCTATGGAGGGATGTTTATGTTGGCGGGACTCCGGAATGACAAGCAGTGTCGAAGAACAAGAAGAACGAGAAGAAGAAGAAATAACTCAACCGATAATTTTTCGGCAGTACACCAGTGTACTGCAATGGACGAGAACAGCGTGGTAGCGCCCTTCACCTATTTAAGACCTGCTGGGTCTCAGACCAGTGTGTTGGTGTCTCGCCCAGACCAGACACCTCAATACGCCGTGCCCTATCACCACAGTAATACGTCCTCGGACCAGGAACCATCTGTGCACGCCACTGCTCCACCACTCATCGATCATGTGCCCCAAGCTTCACGATTTGCTGACCAATATTAACGTTTGAACATAAAATATGTATCTAATACTGGCAGAATAAGACATGATTTACAATGTACAATGTGTCTTAGGACACTGCTGCCTGTCGTAGGAGGCGACTAACTCGGCCTGCTCTTGGTTGTATGACAAGGGTGATGACTGCAACCTTCCAATGGCCAACATTTCCTTTGTCAAGCAATATTCCGGCAGCTCTAGACTTTAGTGTTTACATTTCACAACGTTTGAGGTACAACTGAGCATGCTCTTTCTACCAAGACTTCTTAGAGCGTCATACAACTCATGCTCAAAATGTGTCTGATCAAAGTTACAACATTCAAGGACCTAGTAAAGCTTCGAAAAGGTTTATGGTAGACATGTACATGTGAAGGACATTTCCAAATTTGAAGCATCCGTGACAAAAATGATGTCCGATGTAATTCCCTATTATCACTTGCACCACATGTTCCAATGGTTTTTATTTCAGGGGAACAATTGACTGCCTTTGCAGTGTTGGATGCAACTGGTGGGGCAGGATACGCTTACCTTTTCGCGAACAACTGGTATCATCACTATTTGATAGTGATTTATAAACACATGCTCAAGATACTTTCGGAATCGTGGAATTGACAGAGATTTCTTATGGGTATGAAAGGGATTGTGTTGTTTTTATTTGATTGCGAGTTATTGTGTCCTTGCCATATGGAGTAGATTTATGGTGCTGTACATTGCGAGCCTACCCTTGGTCACTGAAGTGTGACTCAGCTATGCGGTCTTTTGTCAGCCTACTTGTTGTGCTTGGGGGCAAGGGTGACCCAGTCGTCTAAGGCACCGCAATTCGCTGTGCAGAGTTGCGTCCCTTAGGCACGCCAGAAAACTATGGTTGTGGGTTCAAATCCCGGTTCGCCCCGATTATGTTTCCAGGTGTGTCAGCACCACACCCGTGCTCGTGGGTTTCACCGAAGTGGTAAACGTCTGAGACCTGCATCACTTCAGGCTTTCCTCCCACATTAAGCTGACAAGCCACGATATGACTGGGATGCTGTTCAAAGCGGCGTTAAACACAACTCACTCACTCACTCACTCCTTGTTGTGCTCGTTGCCTGTTCAAAGGATGCAGAATTAGTGGTTGTTCAAGAGTCCCAGGCATGTAACGTGATCTCATTGCAAGACAAGTTGAGTGAGTGAGTGAGTGAGTATGGTTTTACGCCGCTTTTAGCAATATTCCAGCAATATCAGGGCGGGGGACACCAGAAATGGGCTTCACACATTATACCCATGTCGGGAATCGAACCCGGGTCTTTGGCGTGACGAGCGAACGCCTTAACCACTAGGCTACCCGACCACCCCGCAAGACAACTAATGTATGTGTGAAGAGGTCACAGTGGATAAGCATGCTTCACGGATTTGTTTTCATACAAAAATTAGACACTGTTTTTATTTTATTTTAAACTTGGGGGAAGGGCAAAAGAAAGTATAGAGTCTTTTCATTGAAAATTGAAAAAAGGTATAAATTTGATAATGTCTTTATAACCATCACTCATTCCTGCATCAGTTTGTAAAAAGTAGCTGGGTAATTTTGTGTAAAATATAATTTGTTTAATGAAGACTGGTAAAGAAGTGAATTTGCAACCCCGACCATGTTTAAAATGTTTGCAGTTATATTTATAAGTTTTAAATCAAATCATATTTACAAAATAAATCCATGCAGAAGTATTGTTTGAGTGCTGACCAATTGAAAATCAAACAAAGAGGCATGGTTTCTTTTGCTCGTCAGTTTACTTATTTACCCTTTGCGTTAGTAGTAGCACAGCAGATAGATAGCATAGTCCCTTACACACCAGGCCGAAACATAATGAGGCATTACGTGACATAAACTATAACCTAGGTGAATATAACTGTGATCTTATGAATTCACTAAAACGAAACGTCATAAGTATATTAAAGTTTGGGACGAGGGACTGTATGCATTTTCAAATTTATCATTTTTTAAACTGTGAACACAACAAAAAGATTTCTCAAAACAGACCAGAGAAGCAAAATGCCGTATAAATGGCTATTGGCGCAAAAACATAGTGTTCATCGTGACTTCTACCAACACATATAGTGAATGAGAAAAACCAGACATTTCGTATGCCAAGTAAATAGATATTTCCAAATTTGTTGTAATAAAACCCTCGTACACTTACATCTTCAAAGTCAACGAAAGGTACTTGAACCCTGTGCATATAAACTGTATGTTAGAGGAGAGGAGAGAAGGAATAATATTTTTGTATAGTCGCTAACATCATTTGGTGTGTAAACATATGTCCCATAATGTGTGTTTTTTTACACTTACAGATACATACAGGTATATTGTAAATTAAAATTCTTATCTGCAGCGTAGCATGGGTCTATGGCCTACACTACTTAATTATTATTATTATTATTATTATTATTATTATTATTTACAGATTAAAATTAAAAATGCAGCAAAGAGGCACAGGGTTTGGGTGATCACGGCACAGTCAGGCTGGTTAGGATCAGCAGCAGCACAGGGCCCTTGCCCCCTCTACACGCAGCCCAGGCAGCGAATGGGACTTCTCCCAGGAAGCGCTGCCTTGTCAAACTAACCCAGGACTTTTCGGAGAATGTGAAGACTCCCCAAAACTGCAGCCATCTGCATTACCCATATTGTCAGAAGGGCTGTATTCCTGGTAGCAAACCCGGGTACTCTCCCAATGTCAATCAACAGATTGGGAGGTACCAAACCTAAGGCAACGAGAACAATGGTGAGCCGGACAACTTGGGATGCAAAAGGGACATTTCGAAAGCGAGGTCTGCATATTTGCCATGTTTTTCCTGAATTTGTCAATCACATTAGTGTCTTTCAATGATATAAATGATTTTATTGGATTTTATAAAAAAAGGACAAGATCGGGTTTGCTAGCCTCGATATGTCAGAGGCTGTATACGGGCCTATTCCAAAGATTGTTTTTATTTATCATTTTCAATGACCCTATGTGTCGTACCATGGATGGTACCTCTGTGTCAAAACGACAAGCATGCCAAAGACGGTATTAAAGGATCGAGCCACTCCATCATTTCGCTGGGCATCTACTGACAAAGTGTTGGACAGTCTCATTAAATCCATTGCATAATCTATATTTACATTTTGATGCGAGAATCACACATTGACGGTTTCGAGTGAGAAGTGACTGGTCCTGAGCAGCAAACAGAAAGCCTTCTGTTTCACTTTTCAGGCCAGCCGACTTCATCTCAGCGAAGAACTCTGCAGAGTTGCTGACATCCTCCTCGATACAGTGGTCTTTCAGGTAGCCTCTCCCTGAAAATCTTAATCCGAGCCGATTTGATATGGCACTTTGCTTGGTTGACACTTATTTCGTCCAGCAGTACAGAACCATCAACATAATCAACATTGACATTGAGATTATGCCCCACACCCTTGGCGCGTTTATGGAAACTAAGAATGCCTTGTTTTCGTCCTGTTTCTTCCTTCACACAGCAAAGTAAGCATTTCAGTTTTTATGAATATCAAAATAAAAACGGCATAACCTATGAAAAACATATTGGTTTGATTACATTTATAATACACAATATCGTCCAAGTATGTCCAGGGTAGAAGATCTTGTTAGGGCATTAAGTAAGCAGATACAGAAGATGAATTCAAGTGATAATGAGATGAGACAATGGATGGAACAATATGGAACTGAGACGTCCAAGACAGGTGTTCCCGTCAGGCTTTAGATTATTATGATGGTCAAGAGGAAAATGTTTAAGCGTATGAGGATGTATATGTGCAGACATTGGCTTCTGCACCTCCGAAGATTGGAAACGTACCTTTCATATGATTGCAACAGTCTGTTCGGGTAGACCTCCCAGTGCTCAGCAACAAAAGTGACTGTAATCATTTGACGATATCTGTAACCACGAGGTGCAACAACGGTGTTTGGGTAACAGGCAAAAACGGAATCAGAACCATTCCCTACTTTACCTGAATTCCCTGAAACTTAATTAAAGTCTCTTTGATCTCTAAAGTGGCCTAACATCATACACATTTGTGAACTTTACAATGCTGTTATTACTCCCTGTTTAATTACTCCCGTTTGAGAAACATAATGCAGTATACTTAATGCTCTTAATACACTTCCGGTCTAATGTTACTGACCCTCTATCTCAGCCATAAGCTTCCCGAATTGCAAGCATATGTTTTGCTACAAATGTAAAACCTCAATGCGGCACACTGTAAATACATCTGTATACTACTGTATTATGTGTGAATGACCTTACCATTTGGCATGACCTAGACACATCTAGGTATAGAAGAAAGTCCTTGTGTATTTATAATCATTAAAAATTCTTTGTATTATCGTGAATTAAAATTAAGCATTGCATGTTTTAACAATTAGGATCCTGTTAGGCTTGATCAGAGGTCACAGGGAAACTTCGATCCCACCCTGGAGAGATCATATGTATTATTTGTTTTTATCATTTTTGATACTTTTCATTCCATTTCAAAGTAGAGGGTAAAAAATGTTTACAGTGGGTAAATACTTTTACCTTCAAGGAGTTCAACATGATAAAACTGATGATAGAAGACGTGTATACAACATTTGAAGTAGGTTGTTTTTAGAATTATACACAGAACATATTTTATGAACGCTTCAACTGTTGTAGACAAGGGGAGTTGTCAGTTGATTCCATTTCTTGTGAAAACAGTGGATTGTATTATATGTGCTTGCAATACATTTTCAGTTTATTAAATTTCTTCTATGCCATTAGGCTAGTATTCTGTTTATATCATCAAATCGTTCACTTAGATCAAGAGTTATTTTAAAGAAAAATTATATCTAATACCTTTGTCAATTATTTGTTCAATCAATTGTTCAGAGACAAATGCTTTTTAACGACCAAGTAACAAAAGCAGGTCTGGTTTGTTTAATCTAGTACCATAGAGTATTCTACCATCTTCCATGAATAAAATTTCATTTTCATATGTAACTGTATTCAATGTTGTTTTTATATTGCAGTGCGCTTATTTATTATCTTATGAAGGTTTTAAAATGAAATTGGACGCTAATTGCTCAATACTTGTTGGTCTTTATTTGGTTTGGAAAGACAAGTGATAATTCCTCTGTTCATTGTTGTTGATAGTCTAGTATTTTCATAGGTTTATTTTGTTTGTCTATGAATCTGCTGATTTTTATCGAATAAGACAGATGGAAGCCTTTCGTATCTTGCCATATGGACTCGGGATAGTCTTCACTACTATACCGATAGGCCATTCAATGCTGGCAGTGTTCTTTCCCTACAAAAGGACAATATCACTTAACCAACTGCGACTACCTTGTAAGGTTGAGATATTCGCCTATCCATCGAAAATGATCAGCCAGTGTCTGTATATGTCGCCATTGTGATTTATACACGTTTGTCACAAGTTCCACAACAGGATCAGTTTTGTCAGTGCGGATGGAGTCAGTATACTAGGTATATGCTGGATCTGATGAAAGAGACGTGATGGTTAGTGCATTTACTGTGCGCTGAGAAATCCTTTGATCGGCGGATATTTTCTTCCTCAATCACTTGGTTTCATCTTAATAGTGAACTACCCTTTTTCGCAAAGGTGACTTGACTCTCAGGGATTTCAGATGGACCTTGAAGCCATGGACTTAGACTGGACCAATCTGGTTCATAATCCGCTGGATTGGAATCCTTCATAACACATTTCCACTGTTGTGGAGATGACGTCCTGATGCTAGGCACAGCTTCAATAACATTCTTAGTTGCTTCCGAATAAACGCATACTTCGTTCCTTACTACATTTTGATAAGGTAATGGTAATAAAGGCGACACAACCCTATTCATTAAAAGCAGAGTCGATTGTACGATTCCGACTATATCAAGAGCATGTGTTTATGAATCACTGTCAAATGTTAAAGTAATATTACAAGGTGAACGTATCTTGTCCCACCGGTGGCACCCGTCACAAACACAAAGCCAAGTCACTTATTCACCTGAAACATATACGGGCAGAATTAGTTAAGCTTACAATGCACACGTAAGACTTTGTAAGAGGCGACTAACTCTGGTCGGATAGTCCTGCTCTGTAGATAGGCCATTTGCGTGCAATTGTGCCCCAACGGCATGGGACGTTGTTCATAATCTGGACCATCTGGACTCCATTTTGTACAGACTGCCGTGATATAGCTGGAATATTGCTGACAGTGACCTTAAAAAAAACCATGTCGTACAGGGTACATGCAAGGTGGTGTACATTACCACCCTTGATCAATGAAGCATGCTTTGTGTTTCTTTGTTAGCCTACCTTGTGTGCTCTTTGCCTGTTCAAAGGACGCACGAATCGTCCATTGGTGATTGTTGTTCGCGTTAGCGTGACCTAGGCAAGTAACGTGATTTGATCTTGCATTATAGTAGATAAGCATTATACTTCAGCTGAACATAGTGGAATACCTATATTACATGGATACGTTTATTCTGTTTGGATTTTATTGTTTTCACGTGTATACAACATACGTATCTCCCCTTTGCATCAGCAGTCGGAATGGCATAGTCCCTAACATGAGACATTACATGACTATATCTACTCAAGGACAAACATGAATATTTTTTAATTTGAAGTTTACATGATATACGGCTTTTCAATTGGATGAGAGGTCGGTCACCTGACCGCGAAATTGACATTCATAAGTGTATGGACGACACAATTTGACGTTCATACGTTCTTCACGTGACCGTGTTCTTGAAATGACGTAAACACTGACGGACTACTTCCACATTCCTTGGGAAACCCCTGGGAATTCCCTGGCACGAATACCTACAGAAGCGTTCTCTCTGATCATTGACCCTGTAATCTTGACCTCAGCGTTTTAGTATACACAGAAACGTCAGAGTTTGACCACGATCGTTCACGAAATCCTCGCTGCGACCCGTCCTGGTGAACAAAACGAAGAAATGCACAGCCAAACTATAGTAGTATCGACTCGATCCGTGTCTAGGTTGACAGTGACTGTCTAAAGCAATCTTTGACTTTACCTTAGTGTCTATTTGACACATCTTTATTCACCTTTCAATGATCGGTCAATTGATCAATGATGACTAAAACATGTAACCGCCATTGGTTCATTAGCAACTCCCGAAATCTCTCCCTTCACGTTTATCGTGTCAGCCATTTTGGCGTCATGTACTTAACATAAATGTATTACGACGCGCAGTCATTGTGACTGACTTACTGGGTTAGTTCTTTGCAGATCTTTCTCATCTAACGGTGATATTATTTGAATACATGTGTTGCGTAAGATGTTTCTGAAGAGCAAGTTGTGCATCCATACGCTCATGCCACCTCTCTTTTTGAGGAACTATTTTATTCCGCGATACAGCTGGTTGTTGTATAGCTGTCATTGTAAACATGAAGTCACACGTACTTAATAAAATTGTGTATAGATCTTGGCCTACATCCTTTGAGGTAAGAAATTGTGATAAAAAATTATAAGTCGCAAGCTCCGACGTTCATACAGTTTGGAACTCACTCTATGAAGGTTCATACTCCAATGAACTCACGCAGTGTGAAAGTCTATTCTTAACTGATCTTAACCATTCATTATAACAGAAACTTCATAAATATTACGATGTTTGTGACAAGTGACTATGCGAATTTTGTGAACACAACAAACATATGCGTCAGGTAGACCAGGGAAGCTTGATGCCGTTTAGATCGCCATTGAAATAGTATACATCACCACTTCCGGCTACTTTTACAGAGAATGAACATAGCCAGACAAAGACAAATGTTTCTCTCTGTAGTATCTGTAGCGTAGAATGGACCTATGGCTCACACTACTTTATGAATAAAAGGTTCTTGTTATTGTTTGCATAATATTCATTCGCTCTTGTACACGAATCTTTCAGTGATCTTTGTTGAAATTGTTAACTTACTCAGTAAAACGTGGATTTACGTTTAGATATTTGTGTTTAGAAGATCCACTGTGGTTGAATTTTTTTGTAATTATTTTGAATACAAGGTTTGGGTGAGTGAGTATGATTTTACGCCGCTTTTAGCAATATTCCAGCGACATCGCGGCGGGGGACACCGGGAATTGGCTTCACACAATGTACCCATGTCGGGAATCGAACCCGGGATATTCTGCGTGACGGGCGAACGCTTTAACCACTGGGCTACCCCACCTACCTTCAAGGTTTGAAGGTCTATATGACACACGTTTTTGGATGCATACGTCTGTGTGGGACTGTCGGTTGGGCAGAACATACTTGCTAATTTCACGAACACCTGGTATCTATTTGATAGAGTTTCATAAACACATGTTCATTGCATAGTCGGAATCGTACGATCGACTCTGCTTTTGCCATATATCCTTATGAATATGGAAAGGGTTTTGTCCCTTTTATTTACATGAGCTTGATAATGGATAGTTGGTACAACTTGGAACTTGTTGCTATATTGAAAGTGAAAGTATTTGTATAACCAGATCAGTACAATTCTTTGCATAAAGTTAAACAAACACTGATTAAATTTCAACATCAAAATTTGAGTGAGTGGGTATGGTTTTACGCTGCTTTTAGCAATATCACAGCGGGGGAACCAGAAATGGGCTTAACACATTGTACCCATGTCGGAAATCGAACCCGGGTCTTCGGCGTGACGAGCGAACGTTTTAACCACTAGGCTACCCGACCGCCCTCAAAATTTGATGTGAATGTAACATTATGTGAGAGATGTATCATAGCGCCGCCAACCCTTAAACCCTGGTGTGTGTAGCCGCTGGCCATATCGCCTGGGCTGTAAATTGCTGGGAAGAGTTGTGTCCCTTAGGCGTGCCATGATCTTATGTTCCTGGTGCGAATCGCAGATTCTCCCTAATTATGACTGTTGGTCCTTTGCCTTTTCACCACCAGACATGTGCTAGTGTACTTAAATATTCAACGTCAACGCCAGAGAATAACCAGTCTTGATTATGATTGGGCGTGATTTCAAGGCAAACTGACGGTTAAAGTTTTATGAATGGAGCACTGAAGATCAGTGAGTTCACAGAAAGGGTAAGCACCTGCCACTCACACAATTTGCATAAAAAGTATGAATTTGTTGCCTGACAGGGCAGTCCTCCTTTAATGCGACGGCGACAAGTAAACAGACTAGACACACACGTGTTGGAAAAGAGTGAGTGAGTGAGTTTGATTTTACGCCGCTTTTAGCAATATTCCAGCAATATCACGGCGGGGGACACCAGAAATGGGCTTCACAGATTATACCCATGTCGGGAATCGAACCCGGGTTTTCAGCGTGACGAGCGAACGCTTTAACCACCAGACTACCCGACCGCCCCTGTTGGAAAAGAAACCCAGTCACACCAGATAGCGTAATCCACCAACACTCCAAGACGTCAACAACGAAAAAATGCACCAGCTGGGGACGTCCTTCCACATTAAACTGAGTCGCAGTTATATAAATGGCACACTGTTCAAAGCTGCACTGAACCCAACAATGCATACACATCCCTAAGATTTAGATCCCTATTTCAATACGCGACAGGAGGCATAAAAGATCTCTTGGCTGATATCCAAACTAAACTTTAAGCCGTAAACAAGCTATGTGACCCCGGTTGCTTAAGCCTGCTTTATGGCTATCAATGACATATGTATGGCACGCTCCAACAGATATGAAAGAACACCCTCACCCCACGCAATCATTTTAACTAGGCAACTGCATAGTTTGTTGTGTCAGTTGACTGTCAAGGCGTGACATCGGTTGATTGGTGAGATCTACGCCAGAAGTAATCGATTGGACTTATTGATAATCAATAACGACCTGCATTTGGAATTGGTGATAAGACAAGTGAATAACGGGACCAGGAAGTCACAACAGTAAGTATCCATGATGTTCAATCTTTGTGCAGCAGTAGACGACTACTGACAACACAAGAGGAATATATGCTTGCATATGACGAACAACATGAGAGGATATAGTATTTAGACCAGAGGTGGTAACTACAAGATCATCAATAATTACAGTAAACATTCCCGAGACCATGCAGTTGTGTTTGTTTACTTAGCAACACGTTTGTGTGTGTGTATGCGTTAATAGATTCAGACCATACTAGATCATGGTGTTCATTGAAGTGATGCGTTTATGTTGCATCAATTATATCGATTCATGCATTAATGATTGTTTTTGTTCATTAGAAAATGGATGAAGATACGTGGATCAGAACAAATATCCGACAAAGAAAATGTACAGTGTTTTCTCGGTAAGTCTTTAATCTGGTGCATTGTCAGTGTTTTCTTAGTAAGTCTTTAATCTAGTGCATTGTCAGTGTTTTCTTAGTAAGTCTTTAATCTAGTGCATTGTCAGTGTTTTCTCGGTAAGTCTTTAATCTAGTGCATTGTCAGTGTTTTCTTGGTAAGTCTTTAAGCTCGTGCATGTAGATCTACAGCTGCATTGTCAGTATTTCCTAGGTAAGTCTTTAATCTCGTGCATGTAGATCTACAGCTGCATTGTCAGTGTTTCCTAGGTAAGTCTTTAATCTCGTGCATGTAGATCTACAGCTGCATTGTCAGTATTTCCTAGGTAAGTCTTTAAACTAGTGCATTGTCAGTGTTTTCTTGGTAAGTCTTTAAGCTAGTGCATTGTCAGTGTTTTCTTGGTAAGTCTTTAATCTCGTGCATGTAGATCTACAGCTGCATTGTCAGTGTTTTCTAGGTAAGTCTTTAATCTCGTGCATGTAGATCTACAGCTGCATTGTCAGTGTTTCCTAGGTAAGTCTTTAATCTCGTGCATGTAGATCTACAGCTGCATTGTCAGTGTTTTCTTGGTAAGTCTTTAACCTCGTGCATGTAGATCTACAGCTGCATTGTCAGTGTTTCCTAGGTAAGTCTTTAATCTCGTGCATGTAAATCTACAGCTGCATTGTCAGTATGTCCTAGGTAAGTCTTTAAACTAGTGCATTGTCAGTGTTTTCTTGGTAAGTCTTTAATCTCGTGCATGTAGATCTACAGCTGCATTGTCAGTGTTTTCTTGGTAAGTCTTTAACCTCGTGCATGTAAATCTACAGCTGCATTGTCAGTGTTTCCTAGGTAAGTCTTTAATCTCGTGCATGTAAATCTACAGCTGCATTGTCAGTATGTCCTAGGTAAGTCTGTAAACTAGTGCATTGTCAGTGTTTTCTTGGTAAGTCTTTAATCTCGTGCATGTAAATCTACAGCTGCATTGTCAGTGTTTCCTAGGTAAGTCTTTAATCTCGTGCATGTAAATCTACAGCTGCATTGTCAGTATGTCCTAGGTAAGTCTTTAAGCTAGTGCATTGTCATTGTTTTCTTGGTAAGTCTTTAATCTCGTGCATGTAGATCTACAGCTGCATTGTCAGTGTTTTCTTGGTAAGTCTTTAACCTCGTGCATGTAGATCTACAGCTGCATTGTCAGTGTTTCCTAGGTAAGTCTTTAATCTCGTGCATGTAAATCTACAGCTGCATTGTCAGTATGTCCTAGGTAAGTCTTTAAGCTAGTGCATTGTCAGTGTTTTCTTGGTAAGTCTTTAATCTCGTGCATGTAGATCTACAGCTGCATTGTCAGTGTTTTCTTGGTAAGTCTTTAATCTCGTGCATGTAGATCTACAGCTGCAGTGTTAGTGTTTTCTTGGTAAGTCTTTAAGCTCGTGCATGTAAATCTAAAGCTGCATTGTCAGTGTGTCCTAGGTAAGTCTTTAATCTCGTGCATGTAGATCTACAGCTGCATTGTCAGTGTTTTCTTGGTAAGTCTTTAACCTCGTGCATGTAGATCTACAGCTGCATTGTCAGTGTTTCCTAGGTAAATCTTTAATCTCGTGCATGTAAATCTACAGCTGCATTGTCAGTATGTCCTAGGTAAGTCTTTAAGCTAGTGCATTGTCAGTGTTTTCTTGGTAAGTCTTTAATCTCGTGCATGTAGATCTACAGCTGCATTGTCAGTGTTTTCTTGGTAAGTCTTTAATCTCGTGCATGTAGATCTACAGCTGCAGTGTTAGTGTTTTCTTGGTAAGTCTTTAAGCTCGTGCATGTAAATCTAAAGCTGCATTGTCAGTGTGTCCTAGGTAAGTCTTTAATCTCGTGCATGTAGATCTACAGCTGCATTGTCAGTGTTTTCTTGGTAAGTCTTTAATCTCGTGCATGTAGATCTACAGCTGCATTGTCAGTGTTTTCTTGGTAAGTCTTTAACTCGTGCATGTAGATCTACAGCTGCATTGTCAGTGTTTCCTAGGTAAGTCTTTAATCTCGTGCATGTAAATCTACAGCTGCATTGTCAGCGTTCTTCATCGTCATGTGTTAGTGAGCCTATCACCACTGGACGGGATTACACGAATGGACTCACACATTGTACCCGATGTCGGAAATCGAACCCAGGTCTTCAACGTGGATAAGCTAACAAACAGGTTACCCTGCTGTTCCTGTTTATAGCATTGAAGTTGAAAGATGCTGTCTGTGCATATATGAATATTTGCGGTTGTGCGCATTTTCTGTTCACAATATATGGTAATGAACGTGCACACTGTATAAAACACTTTTTCGATATTGAAATATTTAATATTTTCACATTCAATGACGTTATCTAAAAAGGACATCTTACCGAGACTGCTGAAACTGCTTATCACAACCAAAGCAGGACGTTGTCATTCGCTGTCTGGGTGAAGTGGGTTTTTTTGTATGTGAGTCACTAGAGTAAACAAAGATTTGAACAGCGAACTCGGTGATAAAGTACACAAAGACGTTTAGATGAATAACGAGGTGTCTTCTCCCTACGTTCTAGGCCTGACACATGTCAGTATAACTTTACATTAAGCTATCTATCTACGAAAGCAACACGGCGGTGTTCCTTAACAACGGTCGTGTTTAAGTAGAGGTGAGGTGAAATTGGGTTTAATATAGCGTGCGTTTTGTACTGCTCCGGATTTATACCGGTTGCATAGTGCCAACCCACAGAGATACCGTGCCACAAGTTAACCTGGATACACAGCTTACTGACTCTGATCGACCACACCTTGTTTCATCCCCTTGATGCCAGGCAGGGTGACAACAAGTCTTTTGGCATGACGCGACCAGAGCATCGAACTACCAACATTATGCTCATCAGGCAGACTATACTAAATTGACACCACAACATGTGTGACTGCGTTAGTTAGTCAAAACGCTGCACAGAAGTGCCACTGCCATACGACGGCCCACAGTTTTTGACCGCACAATCAAGTGCCAGTGAACCAGACACTACCTCCATTTCTGTTCACACCAGATTTGACACACAGGCATGGGAGCTAATGTCACTGATGAACAGTCGTACTATGTTCATTTATTTCTTCTATCGATATAATTAAAAACTCTATCAATGTGAACTGTTGATATTTTAAGTTGTCACCAGGCTATGAACAGTTGCTATGCATCAATAGTACGATGAGTCGTTTCACCATATACAGCAATATAATATATGATTCGGAATTTTACTGTTTATCTTTTAATAAATGATGATTTACGTGTTGTAACGGTTATATTGCACTGATACATACTTCCCACCTGCTGCCATCTGTGTCATGTTCATCAGAATATATTTACTTCTGCCTCCGATTCGGAACCAGAATAGTCGAGGACACAACAATAATATATATGCTCACCGCCAAAGGAAAAGCGAACTATTGAAACATATGGAGAATCGTACATTAAGAAGATATGTTTTCAATGTATACCAAGTAATGGCCAAACTTACAATCACTCAAGTGTTACCACAGAGTGTCTTTATTCTTATCTCGATGTGCTGCAGGTGATTTCCAAATTTTACGTGCTAATCCTGCATGAGACAAATGGTGTATCTCGAGTCAAAGCAAATATAAGGTTACAAATCAGAATACTGCAATAATGCAATGAGGCCACGCGAACTGTCGACCTGATTGTCAGTTATCATTATACGGGTATTGCTATTCCTGGACAAACACGTGCATCTCGTGTGTACAATCAGTAACCCCAGATTACACAGATCAACATTAAAATAAAATGTTATCATTACAAAAAAGGAAGCTGCAAATATCGTAGAAAGTGGAAAGTCACATTCATGTGTATCAAACATATTTGGGAAGTCAAAACGTTTTCGGTTGGTAGGTATGTGAAGGGACACTATCAGCTGGACATCAGGTAGATGTATGACAATTGAATCCTTGGGTCGACCATTCCGTCTTTCAGTCAGATGAGTGATGAGTGAACAAACGTGATATTAAGTTCAACTACACAAAAAGTATTTTCCGTTTCTCTGTATTTGGGTTACCAAATCTTGCTGTTCTAGCTAACACATTGTTTCATATAGACAGTATTTTGTCACATTTGAAACGTACACAATTCTTTTTTGCTTACTAGGAAATACAGAAACGATCAAAGATATAAACATTCTGTGATTCCTTGTGTGTTGCCAACTGACAAAACTAACAATAATTTCGGTATCGCATTATCGCAGATTACAGAGGAAAACTTCCTGCAAATGTTGGCGCAGTGAGAGTGAACACCAGGACCCCGATTCCATAAATGACGAGGACTGGTCAACATCGCGGAACACAGCATCTGAACCTTGCAGGAACTATGGAAAGATATACTTCGTCGAAGAAGGCAGGACTTCACAGGTGTGTTAATACAACTTGTCACCTTATGTTATGGATGGATAGTATTTCACATGCACTATGGAACGCTATATAAGTGACACCATCTCTAAAACAATATTTGATGCAACTTTACATGTCAAGAGAGGTGTCAATTCGGATGACATCAACTGTTAAGGCGTAATTCAAAGTAGATAGGTACAATGAGCACCAAGGACCGAGAAAGTGTTTAAACAGACAGCCAGGCCACAGCTATAGGTTCATGTCTCCATACAAAAATACAGCACCTGTTCAGATTACTTAAAGATGTCCTTCCTTCACTACAAACAGGGGATAGGTGTGCCCCACCAGGTGCCATGTTAGGGAAAATACCTTGTACCATATGACACAATTACAAAGTGAGTGTGTGTTTTCCTGTTTTCCGCGATTCTGATTGATTGATCAAAATTGAATGTATGCAATATTTGAAACAATATATAAAAACAGTATCGTGAACTCCGATGTAGTGGACTGTCAAAATTATTACGAGTGCACCTGTTGTGAACTAATAAAATAAATTGTTCAAAGGAGAATATTCTATTGCAGCATAACGTCATATCACCATTCAGTACATGATACTACGCTACACGATTTTATACACTCGTTGACTTTTATCTTTCAATTAATGCAAAAGCGAAGTGAAAAACAATCCTTAAACATAGGGTATAAAGATTAAACTTGAAGACTTTAGTTTAGTCCATTACAAAAAATGATAAAGGAGCTGCAAGTAAAGTTAAGTTAAAGTTAAGTGTTTCCCAAATGCGCTTTTGTTTTACAGTATGTTCGTATCGATGTTGAGAGTGATATGTCGATCGTTGAGCATCTCTTGCTGGAGGTATGGAGACTGCCTAAGCCAAAGTGGATGTTCTCTGTCATAGGAGATAGACACAAACAAGCGGATGCAAAGGAGAAGGAAATTAGGTGCCAGCTGAAAGGCTTAATGAAGTCGTTTTCCAATGGACAAAGTAAGATTCATGTAAACATCATTAGATAACAGATAAGGTATCTTATATATAATTTCCACTGTGATATGTTTTGTAAAATACCGTATCAATGATTGACGTAAGAATTGTAAAGAATATAAACATGTACATAATCATAATTATCTTGTACATATCACGCATTTTTTTGTCAGATATTTGGATTACAACCGAAGGCATAAATTATGGGATTGCGAAAATGGTTGGAGATTATATCAAAGACGAGCCTTCTAAATACATAACACCTGTCGGAGTGTATGCGTGGGCAGGAGTTGACGACGAAGTTATTAAAAAACTTGAAACCGAGCAGGTATACGCTTCAATTCTTCAAAACGACTTATAAATTATCTTTTATATTCATGTATCGTATGGTCTTTTGATCTTCATGACGTTGGACAAGAGAGCCGTTAATGAACGCAAATTGTAAAAACAGGTTTGATCAAAAGGATAATAATTTAAATTAAACGGTTTGAACATATTTATTGAAACGTATGAAAGGTTATTATTTACAGATGAAACCCCATTCAGCAATATTACATCTTTATTGAAAATCAACCTTTACATTGAATCTGGACAAGTTAGACCAGTGGTAAACAGACTGAGAACGCATTGCAACCAACCGATCTCTGTTTTGGTATCCTCCTGAAAGGATCCCAGCTAATAATGGTCTGCCTCGGACCTCATAGGATAAATCTTGTGAACAATTAAATAGTGATGGATTTCGGGAGTCCCTTGAGACACATGTTTTATACTAAACACATTGGCAATGCGTTTCATGTTAAAAATTTGATATAGCCTCAAATACCAGAGAAGACACAAGGAAACAGACCCAGTGCCCTGTACAAGCATCACCTCCTGGTGGATGACGGATCTCTTAATCCGTCACATGTTCACAAGTCGTTCCAAGATTTTAGAATGAGATTAGAAACATCAATGACAAAGCATTCAGAAGGTGATTACAACGAAATGATGACCTGTTGCAACAAATGTAAATGTTTCAAGATATTAATTACGAACCATACCATAAATTAAATGATTACTTTCTTTAAATAATTAACATTATCAGAGAGAAAAGAAACATACACTGATTACATCCGTTAACAAAATAATTGAATGTGATATAATGTATTACGCAAACTGTAAATTTGGATAACTGATTTATCAAGGAACATCCTCTATACCATTGGTGGCCGTGTTGTATTGTGGATGGGCTTACGTTCTCGATGGAGTCCAGTCTGCAATAGAAAACAACGTCCCTGTGGTTGTATTGAAGGTAAATTGAAACTAGTATAGGATATTGCTTTAACTGTATAAGAGTATTAATAACATGCCTCATATCATATATGATGGCAATTATTGCCGAAAATGACAGTGGAATTACATGTTCGTTTGTTTGTTGTTTAACGCTCAGGAATATTCCAGACACTGACATCATGAGCATCGATCTACAAAATTGGATACGATGACGTGCATCAACCAAGTCAGCGCGACTGACCACCCGATCCTGTTAGTCGCCTCTTATGACAAACACAGTCGCCTTTTACGTTAAGCATAGGTTTCCGAAGACCTATTCTAACATGGATCTTCACGGGTGTTGAATCACATGTGTTAAGATAACGATGACATTATTCAAGTGGTCACTTTTTTCTCGTAATGAGCATGAAGCCATACATAAGTTTACTTGTTTAAATAAAGCGACAAAACCATTTCCATGTCCAATAGAAATAGCTGCATAAAGCAGAGTCGAGTACGATTGCTATTATATCATGGGCATGAACCACTATCAAATAGTGATGATACCAGGTGTTTGCGAAAAGTTGAGCATATCGTGCCCCACCGATGGCACCCGTCACAAATATATACAAGGACACGGTAACATATGGTACAAGTCAAAATAGGGAATTGCATCGGACATCATTTTTGTCACTGTTTCGTCAAATTTGGAAATGTCCCCCACATGTCTGTCATAAAACGTTTTAAAACTTTACTGAGGCCTTGAATGTTGTAACCTTGATCAAACCACTTCAGAACAAGAGTCGTATGACGCTCTTTGAAATCTTGGAAGAAAGGGCTTGTATCTCAAAAGTTGTGAAATGTAAACACCTAAGGCTTGAGCCGCTGGAATATTGCTCGACATGAAGGGAAAGTTGACCATTGGAAATTTGAAGTCATCAGTCTTGTCATACAGTCTTGTGAGGAGTGTTTTGTCACTCTGAATCTTTATGCATAGATCTAAATATGAAACAGATGAGGTGGTCTCACTGGTCTCCTTTATTTCTAGTTCAGGTGGGTAAATCAGTGGAAGGGAAATGGCTATTTGATTGTTATTGAACGATATCAGATCATCGATATACCTAGGCTTAAGGTAACTCCTTGGCCAAATGACCTTGTTTTGACTTTGTCAATCCGAGCAGAAATTCCAATTCATATGCATAAAGAAACGGATCAGCAAGAAGGGGAAACATTTGGTGCCCACGGGGATGCTTACTTCTTGCCACATTTTGCATAGATGTTATCAACGAGGAGGTCATTAAGTAACTCTTTTGTCTTCTGAATATCTATGTTTATACTTGTAACCTACGAAGGGTTATACTGTTCACAATGGAATTTGTTCGCGTTTTCCCGCATATGTGGCTAACAACCGTCATAATCTGTTTTATCAGGGAACAGGTGGTATGGCTGATGTTTTCGCCAGTGTATTTGAGGACTCCAAAGAAGACAGGACTAGTTCTTCTGGTGACAGTGAAAAGGAATGGTGCGTTGTTTACTGACCCAAATGTAGAAACACATCTCACATGATGTGACGATGTACATGTATGTAGAAGTAGAACATTCGTTCCACAAAGTGTCTATGTTAAAATTATGAACAAACTAATTCCATCATAATAAGCAGTATGTATGTATGAGAATATATTTGAGCAAGATAATTGATTTGCCTCTATTTTCCAATGTACACAATGTGAACAGGACGGGCACAGTGATTGATGACGTGTTACGCAACCACGTAAAGAAGGAGTTTACCAAGGTTCACGAGCAAATGGACGACGAAGCTGGTCAGTACAAAATCCTACAATGCCTACAGAAAAGAGAGCTCATCACGGTTGTGCACATTGACGAAAAGGAAACCGCTTTGGTTAATGCAGTCATACAGGCACTTCTTAAAAGTAAGCACATGCTCAACGATTAAATGCAGCCATACAGGCTCTTCCTAAAAGTAAGCACATGCTCAACGATTAAATGCAGCCATACAGGCACTTCTTGAAAGTAAGCACATGCTCAACGATTAAATGCAGTCATACAGGCTCTTCCTAAAAGTAAGCACATGCTCAACGATTAAATGCAGTCATACAGGCTCTTCCTAAAAGTAAGCACATGCTCAACGATTAAATGCAGTCATACAGGCACTTCTTGAAAGTAAGCACATGCTCAACGATTAAATGCAGCCATACAGGCTCTTCCTAAAAGTAAGCACATGCTCAACGATTAAATGCAGCCATACAGGCACTTCTTGAAAGTAAGCACATGCTCAACGATTAAATGCAGTCATACAGGCTCTTCCTAAAAGTAAGCACATGCTCAACGATTAAATGCAGTCATACAGGCTCTTCCTAAAAGTAAGCACATGCGCAACGATTAAATGCAGTCATACAGGCACTTCTTGAAAGTAAGCACATGCTCAACGATTAAATGCAGCCATACAGGCTCTTCCTAAAAGTAAGCACATGCTCAACGATTAAATGCAGCCATACAGGCACTTCTTGAAAGTAAGCACATGCTCAACGATTAAATGCAGTCATACAGGCTCTTCCTAAAAGTAAGCACATGCTCAACGATTAAATGCAGTCATACAGGCTCTTCCTAAAAGTAAGCACATGCTCAACGATTAAATGCAGTCATACAGGCACTTCTTAAAAGTAAGTACATGCTCAACGATTAAATGCAGTCATACAGGCACTTCTTAAAAGTAAGACTTAGTACATGCTCAACGATTAAAGGTGTGATGCTAACGATAGTTCCCTCTCCATTCACATTACCTACTCATTATTGAAACACCAACAAAAGAATCATGAAAAGTTGAATCCCTTCAAATCATTTCTCTGTACGTATCGCATGATTAAACTAAATATAGCTAATGTCTAAGACCTACGTCACTGTGCGCCGCTTTCCTTCTGACAAGCCTTCATATGACAGAAATACCGTTCAGAGCGCGGCGTCAAACCAAACTCACTATCACGTATCGCCGTTCTTGGCCGACAACACATGCATATTTCATATCATTCATATCTCACCAAACCTGAATTTGAGGTGAGATGAGGTGAAATGGATTTTAACGTCGCGTTCATGATTACTGCACTTGTGTGTGTGTGTGTGTGTGCGTGTGTGCGTGTGTGTGTGTGTGTGTGTGTGTGTGTGTGTGTGTGTGTGTGTGTGTGTGGCTGCTTGTACTTGTCTTGATTCATGCCGATGTTATGGCGCTAGCCTCCTAAGATACCATGCCGCAGTTTAACATGAATACCCCACTCAGACAGTGTTTGTTTTAGCCCCTTTATTCGGAGCGCCAGGCAGAATAGCAACAAGTACCATCATTAACGTTTTTTGGTATGGCGCGGCCGAGGATCGAACACCAGACCTTCCGCTCTCCGGGCAGGCGCTCTACCACCAGACCATGAAGGCGGTCCATGCTGAATTTGATGGTGCATTTTGTCAAGACGACAATGTCTAAGTCAAAAAAAGACTTTGAGTCTGGAAATGAAAGCAGGTACGGAGCCATGTTATTGAAATTGTGAAGTGTATTTTAAGTACATGAGATCACAAAGCTGTGTTATTCAATTTCAGGTAAAACTGTTCCTGAAGTGCTGCAGATTCTGGACTACTATATGCCGGCGAGGTTGTTTGACGGGGAAGGGGCTGCCGCTGCAGCTCTCAACATCCAGGAACAGAGGAGACATCTCAGTGGTAAACGCCACGTGTGGATATCTGGCCTTGTTGGCAATTTAGCAAAATGACATTTATGGAAACGTTTCGAAACCCATGTCCGCAATCGTTGCCCTTTTTGGCGTACAGTAAACCACGGTTATAACGAACACGCTTATAACGAACTGAGGGATATAACGAAGTTACTTTTTTGGTCCCGACTATTTGCTGTAGTTATGCTGTATATATGCTTATAACGAACTACGGTTATAACTAACTAAAATTAGTAGTCCCTTTGAGTTCGTTATAACCGTAGTTTACTGTATTTTTAAAGGTATATTTTATAGTGTAAACTCTTCTTGTCAGACACCAAAGCCGTCCACTAGTGATGTCTGGTCTCAATGAGCGTTTGGTTAATCAAGTAAACAATTTTTACTGTTATCGACCCAACCTCGTAATTGTATTATGTAACTTTGACAATTTTACTGAACCAACAATTCATTTCTTTGTTTCAAGAGACAATAGGCATGTTCCTTCTTCAAGCGATGTTGATGGACGAGGCGGAGAGTGCACAATTCATCATAGACTATAACGGTGTGGACCTTAAAGATTTCTTCACTGAGACTGTGATCTCAGACTTGTGTAAAGTGACACACTGTACACAGCCACTGGTAGGTACTTTTTTATATCAACGTGATAATTTTTTTCTTTTTTATGTTGGTTTGAGCATTTAATTTATGAATCTTCCCATATGGTAAAAATGCCATTGGCGAATGCGGTATTTATTATTGTACAGGAAACCTCATACAATCTGTTCCCGCGATCCAGTGCTACGTCGTATGGGCCCAAGGAGGAGGTATTCAGACGTTTAATGATGTGGGCCGTGCAGACAGACCGACTGAAATGCGCTGCGCTGTTTTGGAAGAAAGGAACCGTAAGATAATTTGCATACACGAATGACTGAGTGAGCTGGGATTAACACCGCTTAGAACAGTATTTCCGTAATACCATGGCAAGGCTGATACATTTAGGTATCCGGTAAAGAATCCCAGGGACCTATGCTTGTCGTAAAAGGCGACTAAATGGAACGGGTGGTCAGGCTGGGAAGATTTGGTTGATTGCATGTCATTGTATCTCAATTGTGTGGATGCTTATGATGTCAATCACTGGATTGTCTGTTCCAGACTGTAATATTTACGACCACCGTCACATAGCTGGATTATTACTAAGGATCTGGGAATGGAACCCAAACTTATAGAATCCTCATCAGTTAAAATGACGCATCTCTGCACGGCGATTTGGTGTCTGTGCCACCCATGCCCAAAAAGTATATGTACATTATGTATTGTAGTAAGCTAACCTGTACACTTGTAAGTACATTTTGAAAGTGATGGAGATCATACTTTGAGCATGTCACCTATCTTCAGCACCTGCTGACATCGTCCCTGCTGGCGGCATTAGTCCTCAGGTCTCGGATGAGGGATGAAGAGAACATTGGCAGTCAGAAAACACTAGAAGAACAGGCAATGTAAGTTCGGCGTATTAAACCATTGAACATTTCATGTTTTCAACACAAGGAGCGTAAGGTTTTATATTTATGTATGTGTTTGCTCGAAAAGAAATGTTTTAATCACCAGTCCTGAATAATAAACATAATACACACATAATACTTGTGATGACGTTTGCTGAAAGTGAAGGATCAATATTTGAATTAAAGACATAATTCCATAAGAATAGCAACGTTTACATAATCAAGGAAGAACTTGTTCCCACTATACAAGGGGGTCGGTGACGTGCATCACATTGTTGTTCGCTGCTGAAGCTTCGTCTGGTCTTGATGTGTTAGAGGTCGCCGTGATAAAGCCTGGACATTGCGCCGACTACATATTTCTTTATTATGTATGATCGATGTAAGGAACACCACATACTTGGGTCATCTGTTATATGTTTAGATTGTTTCAGAGCAGAGCAATCGGCCTCATAAATAAATGTTATGATGACCACAAAGAAAGGACTATGAAACTGATACAGTCACAGTTAGCAGACAACATATGGGAGCAGGATCTGATGAGATGTTCTTTGGCTGTTCATAACCGGAGAATATTTGCGACAGAGGCTTATCGGAAGTACAGTGAACGTGTGTGGTTTGGAAAAATTAACCCACCCATACAGGTGAGTGGCGTTATGCAACCGTTACATCAATAGAATATCTACTTTGGTGCGGGGGCACGGGTGGCCTAGTCGTCTATGGCGCCGCGATTCGCTGTGCAGAGTTGCGTCCCTTGGGCACGCTAGAAACCTATGATTGTGGGTTCGAATCCCGGTTCGCCCCGATTATGTTTCTAGGTTTGTCAGCACCATACCCGTGCTCGTGGGTTTCACCGGAGTGGTAAACGTCTAAGGCCTGCATCACTTCGGGCTTTCCTCCCACATGAAGCTGACACGCCGCGATATGACTGGAATACTGTTAAAAGCGGCGTTAAACCCAACTCACTCACTCACTCTACTTTGGTGCGTTGGTAGGTTAGTTTGTTGTATAATGACCCCTTCAGCAATAGTGGAACTCTATGCCGGCGGCCTGTTACTGATCAAATCAGGACCAGACATTCCAGTGATTGATATTATGTGCAAGGGTTCCCGCCGTCAAGGAAATCACCAAGTCTAACATCCGATCCATTAATTTGCCTTTTACGACCAGCACAGGTTCATGGAGACGTATTCCATCCTGGAAAACCCACGATCGTGTCAAGATGTCCTTTGGTTGGTTGGTTGGTTTGTTGTTTAACGCCGCACTGAGCAATTATCCAGCTATATGAGGGCGGTCTGTAAATAATCGAGTCTGGAACAGACAATCCAGTGATTGATATCATGGGCATCGATCCACATAATTGCATCAACCAAGTGAGCGAGCCTGACCACCCGATCCCGTTAGTCGCCTCTTACGACAAGCATAGTCTCCTTTTACGGCAAGCATGGGTTGCTGAAGACCTATTCTACCCCGGATCTTCACGGGTCACATGTCCTTTGGAATACAACACCTTGCAGGTTTCAGGCTATGATGTAACATGCTATTTAATTTACGACAACTCGAATTCTGTCTTGAACATGGTGATGCTGACTGTTCATAGTGAAGTGGTACGCACTACTATTTCTATAAATTGTTATTCGAACTGTTCACTGCATAGTACATATCGCTGTAATGTTTATTAGGTACATGTGAAATAGTAACATTGTTTATCATTATTTACTTTTTCAAGAAAACTTGTGTCATCTATTTTCAGGATAAATACAAAGAACTTAAGAAAATGACTATCAAGGAGTGAGTATTTCTCTTCTGAAATTTTGCATTTAGTATGAACCTGGACATAAGATTTTACAAACAAATCATGATACAATAATTCAGATGTCAAGGCACGAATGACTTACTCCTTTCCAATACTTTAAGTGCATATTTCATTTGTATTCATTTCAGGAATGAAACACGCTGTGCTCGCTTGGGACGACTTGTGATAGCACCAGTTACAACATATACTTTGAACTTGGTAACATACACACAATTATAAGAGCGTGAATGAGTGGTTGGTATCGATGTTACGCCGCTTTTAGCAGAAATTCCATATCATCAAGACATGGAACCCAAGTCATGTAAGGAATCGAACACGGTCTTTCGAAGTGACGAGCGAACGCATTAACTTCTAGGCTACACCACCGCGCCCAAACAATAACGATATAATTGCAAAATGAAATATCACTTTCATAAAGAGACTTGACAGCTCTACGTCTTGAATATGTTTTATAATCGAATGAATGAACACGTAAATGAATACAACGGAATTTTCAATCACTGCAGCTGTTCTACGTTTGTTTCCTGGGACTCTTTGGCCACACATTGCTGTTTGAAATGAAGAAAGAATTTTCAGCCCTTGAAGGGATATTGGTCGGATGGTGGTTCACGTTTGTTTGGGAGGAAATCAGACAGGTTAATATGAGGTTTGATGCACAATTTCTAACGTAAAACTCATTCAAACAAAAGCGAGACAATTCATCCCATAATCATAAGTCTCCTTAAAGCAAAGTCCATTGTACGATTCCCACTATATCACAAGCATGTAATTATTAATCACTTTCAAATTGTGATGATACCAGAAGTTTGCGGACCCGAAAGATCCGGGGTAGAATAGATCTTCAGCAACCCATGCTTGCCTTAAAAGGCGACTATGCTTGTCGTAAGAGGCGACTAACGAGATCGGGTGGTCAGATTCGCTGACTTGGTTCATGCATGTCATCGATCCCAATTGCATGGATCGATGCTTATGATATCGATCACTGGATTGTCTGGTCAAGGCTCGATTATTTACAGACCGCCGTCATATAGCTGGAATATTGCTCAGTGCGGCGTTAAACAACAAACCTAACCTAACCAGATGTTTGAGAAGAAAATTAGCGTGTCCTGCCCCGCAGGTATCACTCGTCCCAAAACAATGCAAAGTTAAAGAAAAAAGACCTATGACCCGGTTTGAAATCTTCGAAGAAACATCCTGCTTGATTGTACCTTAAAAGTTGTTAACTGTAGACACCAATGCTGGAGCTGCCAGACATTGCTCAACAAAAAGGGAAAGTAAATTCATCCTCCTTGTCATATAGTCTTTTCATAGACATTTTATGTATAGATCTAAATATGACACAGATGAGGTAGAAACCTAGAAACATAATCTGAGTGAACCGGGATGAACCTTCGAAGATAGAGTTGGAGCCATTTATATCATGGTCACCGCGTTTTGCGACATGAGCCTTATGGGCTAAAACATGAAATTTCTCTTACTTTTGTTGTTTATAGAATTGAACCTGGCTCTTCTGAGATTAAAAAAAAGTCAAGCAAATCCTTTTTGAGAATCCGAATGAAATTACTTTTTCATCTCAAATACTCCATGGAAGAATTAAAAAAAAAACGTATTAAGGATTATGGTAACTCTTTGAGACAGGGTTTGGTGGTACATTGGTGGGCCCTGCAATACATGTATGCTGTATCCTCTTGTTCACTCTGCAGTGTGAAATGATGGCTAAAGAGTCAGCTTAAGTTAATGCATTGTTAATACTTTCAGATTGTAAAAATCAAACAGTCTGAACAGGCCTACTGCTCTAGAGACAAATGTCAGTGCTGCTGCAAGTGGAAACTCGGCGCAGATTTCAGGGGATACTTCTTTGATAACTACTGGAACATACTGGACTGTGTTTCCCTTGGGTTCTTCTTGATTGGTGCTGTACTGATGACCATCGTCCATCTCGACACCTCTAGGAACTATGTGTATGAAGCAGCTAGAGTCATACTGAGTCTCGACATCATGTTCTTTACCTGGAGAATACTTCAACATCTGGCGATATTCCGCATCATGGGTCCAGTACTTGAAATGATCTTTCAAATGGTAGGTAGAGTTTGACCATGCTCGGTACAAATAAAAGGACAAGAATTATGTCCTTAATGGTCAAATGTCTGTCTTGGTATTTTTATCACATTAGCTGAGAGCTACCTATTAGCATGTCTAGACATTAGTTATTCGTGAAGTTAGTAATATGAAGGATGGGCAATTATATTACTCAATAGTTATTGAGAGGACACAAATATGTTAATTCTAGGCAGAGAGCTACGAAAGTGTGTTTTGTTCCAATCAAATAAGTATTTGAGGTTTCCATATGGTAGCATCTAATATGACAGTGGTTAGGTAATTGTTCTTCATTGCTATGTAGATCAAAGACCTGTTTCCGTTCCTGGTGATAATGTCGGTTTTCATCATATCGCAAGGCCTGGCTGCACACGCGCTGCTGTATCCTAACCGTGTCTGGTCCCCTGAAGCTTTGATTGACATTCCTAGAAGTGCCTTTTGGAACTTGTTTGGGGAATTAGGGCTGGATGAAATTGAAGGTACAGTATGTAGATAGCCTCACCCGAGTGTCATTTGATATCAAATATATCAACACGACTCGATAAAAGTGTAGAAGTTTTACCTACGAGTGTTGATATATTTGATATCAAGACACACGAGGGTGAGATTCTGTTTATCGTGCAACTTCATTCATCCATTTTTTTCAGTTTATAAACTGATTTATACTATCCCTATGTTTTTAAACCAGTACCAGTATCCTTTTTATGAGTATATGCTACAGACATACAGCAGCTAATCAATAACGTATCAAAGACTTTCCTAACATTTAGGCATGTAAATGGCATGCCAGATTATTTATAGACATGTATACAATGCAGAATCAGATATATTTGGTTGAATGACTTTCTGGTGTTGGCGTTCGATGATGAGTATATGTCTACATACATGTATATGTGTCGTTTGTTCCCTTTTTGAAGATTGACACAATGACTGAGATGTAAATCTTATGAAAGTGACACAAATCTATATATTCAGTTGCTGCCAGCATTGAATCTATGTATACCTAGCCTAGAAAGTAAAACAAATCTAGTTCACACACTTGGTTCATCAGAATTATAAATTTCTTGGAATGTTCAGCAAGCGAAACCCAGGATGAGTGTTCGTCTAACCCACTTCTCTTTGAAAACGACACACTGAATGAATGTCCATCCACCTTGGGGAAATATATAGTTCCACTTCTTTTGGCACTGCACATGCTTCTACTGAATGTTCTCCTCCTCAACATCCTGATCGCAAGATTCAGGTAAGGTTATACATACTCTTCAGTTAGTTCCTCCTGAACACTGTGATATAAACCCTGATAAATACCCACACTCTAGGCGACTGAGAGGTTCAGGTAAATTATACCATGTAGATTATATGAGTGTTCTCTTCTAACCTCCATAAAAGCAACGTTTGGGTATACACATCCTCTTGAACACTATCCCCTTAAACACTCTGACAGCAAGGTTCGGGTCTAGTATTTTTATCATGATTGCAAATTCTCATTAACTTTCTGGAAGCAAGAATCGGGGGAGTGAAGACATCCTCTTTAGTTAAGATTCAGGTGAATTATGATTGAAGTGCTCTTCCTGAGCCTCCTAAAAGCAGAATTCAGATGTAGTGTACAAACCCTCTTCAATACTATCCCCTTAGCAAGATTCAGGGCAGTATTTTCATCCAGGTAAATATTCTCCTCAACAATTTAATTCTCATCTTCAGCATGCACGTTTGTATGAATAATGGAATTGATTGTTTGTTGTTAAGATCACGCAGATGTGGATAAACCCTTCGGGCATACCATTAAGGTCTTGCCAGACTATCCGTCTTTGTGGATCAGTATACAGGCTGATCAATACAAAAACTTAACGAGATGCAGGTCGAAGGTGCCACTCGAGCACAAGTAAACAGATTTGTTTAAGATGTGTAGCATAACATTGCATAAAATCAGCGTACGTGTTCATTCAAGGTTGAACGTGCACTCAACATCATAGAGGCGCTATTGTGGTGATATTGTGTTGTTCACAGCTTCACCTTTCAAATGATTCACGATCAGACTGAATGGCTGGCAGCGTGGCAAAAGGCGAAAGTGATACTGGAATACTACAGCAAACCCCCGGTACCCCCTCCTTTCAACGTCTTCTTTGACGTTGGCTACTTTCTCTATGTGTGTTGCAAGTCAGTGCAAGTGGCACCAAAAGAGGGTATGTATATAAATGTTGGCTGAGGTGAAATGGGTTTAAACGGCGCGTTCACGATCATTGCACCTATGTGTGAGTGTTGGTGTGAGAAAATATATATCACATCTTCATCAATAATGAAATGCGGAATACGATTAAGTAATGTTACACGTATTGGCGCACCCTTTGTGTGTGTGTGTGGTTTGGGGGGGGGGGGGGGGGGGGGGGGGGGGGTGGCGGGGTGGCCGGTGTTGGTCAATGCACGTTGGGTGTAGTCATACCATGCGGCAGTTTAACATTGATACCCAAGCGCCAGGCAGGGTAACAACTAGTACATTCGCTTAACGTATTTTGGCATGGGGGATTGGGATCGAAGCACTGACCTTCCGCTCTCTAGGCAGAATCTCTATTCGCTACACCAAGGAAGCGGTCAGAAATGTTGGGTATTTAAAAGAAATCACAAATGTACTTCATCGAGCAGTGAATTACAGACCTCGGGCTTCTACCCTTATATTAGTTGATATGTTGATAGTTGATTCATACTCCCAGGTATGCTTTGTTTGGTTGATATTTACATAGAAAACATAAAACTTCGTAAGAGGACAAAATGAATTAAAATTTGATATCATCCAATTGTGTTTTACATTGCCAACTGCATTTTCTGTTAGTATCTAATTGTTTGGAAGGGTTATTGGTGGAAAAGGTGAGATGTTTAGCATCGAAATAAGTGCATAGGTTTACTTCAATTAAATGATGGCAATAGTCATTTTACAGGTTTGTTTTTAAGTATTGACCGAGAGTGTTAACATGTGCATTGATGAGTACGCTACACTCGTACAAGCGTGATCAAGATACCGCTTCCCAATTGCAATTTCAACTTCTTTTATGTAAACGTATGTGGTCGTGTGTGTAAGGAAATGTGCCATGGTATTAGTTTCTAACGGAAGATAAATTGGCAAAGTTCACCTCAATCTTTCAGTGGGTTTAGTTTTTTAATGCTTTTGAAATGTACTATGTGTTATCCAATATATTGCCATTGTCTGTACATGATTTTTGTACATGTTAAATGTTATCCTGTTTTCGAATGGTCAGGTTCACGCAGTTGGTGGATAAACTGTTTATTATGGGCAGTTTAGGTAACACGTATACATCAAGTATACATCAAGTAATTTTAATGTATTCTACAAACAACACCTTATCACAGGCAATACCAATGTATGGTGAGACCATATAGTGAACAACTACATTACCAAAGTATCTTTCTGACCAATAGTCATGTACCTAAAGAACTTAATTCTACTCGGAAACGTTTCTTTCAGCAAAGGATCAGAATGCAGAAATGGATTCTTGGGAGAGGTCCATGGGAGAATACTACCTGGCCACTGAGGAATTCAAATCAGGAAGCAAGCGAATGTCTCCACTCGGGTTTGTCATATATTATGGTTCTTGCTTAACGAAATTGGAGTAAAATCCAATACTAGCAGAATGAAAAGATAGTTAGGTAAATTAGCTCAAAATGTTTCAGCTGATTTGAAAAGACACATCTCTACCCTCATGTGAATAATAAGACGTTGCCAACATTTACGGCAGTAATACCTGTCAGCACGTGTTTACATATACCTATAGGACAATGCTCTTATATTAATTCCTGTTAAACAAGCTTAGCTATGACACATTGTATTTGGGATCAGAAGAATCCAAGGTTTAAAATAAGGGTATTTTAAAATAAAATCAATTTGGTTTAAAAGCACGTTGACCACACGAAAATTCCATTCGTATATCCTCGAAATGTAAACGATGTCAATGTGATTGGAACATATGCTAGTATGTACATGCATGTGAAGTAAATAAGCTAAATGTTGTACATTTAGATTTTCTGCCAGAGTTTATAGAAAATACAAAATTTCAATATTAAATTTACGTAACATTGAGAACCTTCCAGATGGTCTACCGACTATCATCCAGTGGTTGAAGTTAACAAACGCTATATAGAGAGCTTAAGAATAATAATTATTGAATTCCACAATTTCCATATCTTCCACTTCTTACCGTCGGCACCCAGTTTGCAGATATTTTAGATCCTTGCAGAAAGTCTTCTAACTTTGGCGTCCTTTCACCCCAGTAAGTAATCCCTGACACCTGAACCCAAGTTACATTACACACTAATGACATTATGCCAGTAATGAAAACATATTCTATGCAAAAGTATTTAAAGAACTTAAAGTTCTCGACCACACATTTTCCAACATCCATTGTCATGACATAGGTACATCCTCCTGCGTGGTTTGGGTACTTACTGAAAGGGTATACAGTCTCGTTTATACCCTATCTCCCCGTTCTTAAGGCGTTTTTAGAGATGTAAATATGTCCAAGAACTGACTTGACAGGTTGCAGTTTCTTTGATACTCTAACAAGAAGGTCAATATTTGTGAACGTGTCGTCATCCGCCTTAAAGACGTACTTCGTACGAGGAAGGTACTCCATAACGTAAGCAAGTCCAGATAAAACTTCCAGTGTTAGATTCCGATAAAGTTTGCTTTCTTTCATGAGAACGGTGTCATACTTATGTGTACGTCCAAACAAAAATATCATCTTTGCATTCACAGTAAGGTTCTCCCAGACCATCTCCGCCCATGTGTGAAACTGCCATATGTTTGTCTAATAGCTTTCCTCTTAGCACCTGCAACGGATAAAACCATGATATTATCAATATATGCATTTTAAATGTGTTGAACAACAAAATACAGTGTCCTTTGCAACGCGGACAAACAGTGTTTCGATCCTCTTCTACTTCATTTAGCCGGACTGAAAAAAACATTTAGTGTTGCTGTAGTCTTGATTTATCTAAACCGATTTAGTGTTGTTGTAGTCTTGATTTATCTAAACCGATTTAGTGTTGTTGTAGTCTTGATTTATCTAAACCGATTTAGTGTTGCTGTAGTCTTGATTTATCTAAACCGATTTAGTGTCGCTGTAGTCTTGATTTATCGAAATATACTTTGATAAACATACATTGATTATCATTGATTGATCATCAACGCTAAAATCAGGTACATGTATACATCTAACAATAAATTACAGAAAATGGTTTGTCGATTTCGCATATAAGAACGAATAGAGAGAAGTTGTTTAGATATGCTACAAGAGTCTGCCTTCGCAATTCATATAATCAAACCAGAAAACCATCGATTCACCTTTAACATAGTGATAAAGAACACATCGTTACCGTCGCACTGACATGCAATTACAAATTAAAACGTGAAGTAAGTTTAAAAAAACACTTACTACAGAAACGCCAACAGTAAAACATTGCATGCATAGATTAGAAAGAATATGAAATGAACTTACGCTCTGAACATCATGAAATTATACTAGTAAATGTCTTATATTTGCAACCTCAAGGGGGCACGGGTGGCCCAGTCGTCTAAGGCGCCGCGATTCACTGTGTAGAGTTACGTCCCTTGGGCACGCCAGAAACCTATGATTGTGGGTTCGAATCCCGGTTCGCACCGATTACGTTTCTAGGTTTGTCAGCTCCATACCCGTGCTCGTGGGTTTCACCGAAGTGGTAAACGTCTGAGACCTGCATCACTTCGGGCTTTCCTCCCTCATTAAGCTGACACGCCGTGATATAACTGGAATACTGTTAAAAGCGGCGTTAAACCCACTCACTCACTGCAACTTCAAAAACTGTTGCCTCGCTTTCTTACAATGGAACATCAATACGCGTGTGTATAGGACTACTATTGCCTATATTTCCACACTACAATGCTGGCGACAGGCCAGCTGACGAAATCAATGAAATATGTTCATGGTAGCTATAGCTAGATCAATCAGTGATAACGAGTGCGAGAAGTCGAGGGCGAAAGAGAGTTCGATTTTCAACATGGCCATAGTTTTGTGATTTCTATTCTGGCTGTAGCTATTCAGTAAATGTGGGACTGTTGTCAGCCGCCGTCGATATTCCAGTCATATCATTGAGGCCTGCAAATAGTCGAGTCGGTGTTTGCGAGCAAGAGTAAATACCACGCAGCTGAGTCCTCATAAGTCGGCTCTTGATCAATCTGACACGGAATTTGCACGGGGTCATGCTATAGTGGTACGATGAGTGGCTGAAACCATGATAGACTATGTTGATGGAGTTTGTTGATAATAATTGTTCAACATAATCCCCTCCGAGGTCCACACACTTCTCCCAACGATGCTGGAGTGTCTGGATCCCACTGGTGTAGAAGGCTCCACCTGGTGGTGTAAAACGTTCACCACAGCAGACATGGCGTCTTCGTCGTTTGCATAATGATTGCCAGACAGTTCTTTAAGTTCGAATATTTGAAAAAGGTAAATCAGTAAGTTGACAGTGAGCTAACATTTACCACCACATAAGGAACATAAAGGTCGGCTACGAAAACCTCGTGAATATATCGGTAGGAAAACAAGTTCCAGGCTTTCTGTGGCAATAAGAGAACTAAAGCTTCAAGGCAATTCATACTCGTGGAAGCGACAAATTCATAGTGAACCCTGCTCACGAATCGTTGTCGACATACCAAAATAGTCCAACGCATGCTCTGCCCTGCTGGAAGCTCCCTGTCATTCAAACGAAAATGCATGTTTTTTTTAAAAAACAAGTTGAAAACTGGATTTTCTAAAAATATATAAACAGTATGCCAAAAAATGTTTAGTGCACTAACAGTAAATACGGTGTGTATAGGAATACGGTTACGTACTAAAGCTGTATCACATTGTTTTGTTTTTATCTATTTTCTACTGACAGTACTCGTGTATCTTCCAAAACAATAGATAAAACATTGTTGAGGTAATAATTGAACTTTATGTAGATAACATCATTATACCTACACCAATAAAATATTGATTCATTTGAAGTCGAACCGCATGTCAGGTCAACATATTTTCACTGTTTGACATTCTGCTTATTCCATAGCAAATCAAAACTGTGACGTCTTTGTATCAAATGTATTTGAAAGTATAAGAAAGTATTAATTTAGAAACAATACACTAGCGTTATGTGATTCACACGTATACCAATTTTATTTATTATCGACAATGTCAATAAATGATTTCGAGACTGCATTCCTTCTTTTCAGACAAAAGCACGACAATAAAGAAGGCATGGTAAAGACGTTCAGAGCTGTTCCTGAACCGTCGAGGTGAGATTGTTATACTTTTTTTTGTCGAGGGGCTTAAACACTCACGTCACACATTAATCAGTCAAATTACATACATAATAGTTGCAAACATGGCATCATTGCCAAACGTTCGTGCACTGACCGTCATGTGGCATATATGAACCTATAATTGATCATAGCCGAAGCGTTGATAAAACTGAAATACTCTTCAAAACGGCGCAAGCCCGACTATTTTGATAATATTATTTTACATATGAATAACTTGTGTGGGTCATCTTTGAACCGCAAAAAGATAAAAAGTTAGATTTTGTTTGACACAATATTTTTTTTCCGTTTGCAGTTCAAGTGAAGTAGCTTCGTCAAATAACGGAATGGACATATTAAAGTAAGCATTTCCGTATTTATGAAAAATCAAGATGATATTACCTGTGAAAAATAATAGTTTTCTAACGTTTAAAAAATACAATGTTTCCAGGGTAGAAGATCTTGTCGGTTCATTAAGGAAGCAAATACAGAGCATGAAGTCTGACCTGAAGGAAGCAATAGCTACACAAGTCCGTAAGGAGATGAGAAAAGTCCTGGAACAATATGGACCTCGTAGTGCCGAGACACCCAGGAGAGCTGTCCCCGAAAACCATATTCTCGCACTGGATGATTATGATGGTCAAGAGGAAAACGCATAAGCGTACGAGGACGTATATGTACAGACATTTGCCTCTGCTCACTGTGAAAAGTGGAGGCGCACCTACTGACTCGTTATTCACATGATCGCAACAGTCCATGCGGATAGCCAATCTGAATATTTGCCTCTATGCTCCATGACAAAAGTGACTGTGATCAAATGGTTTATTTATCACTGAATATTAGGTGTTTATATACTCTTACAAAAAGTAGGGGACCATGAAATTTAAATGTTAATACCAAGTATTAGAACAAAAATAAGTGTACACGACAAACATCCTATGAAAGAACGTTTGTGTCTGTAACACGAAAACAAATCCTATAGCTTGCAGGTGCCTTACGCGGTAGCGCCACACACGTATGTAGTGTGCCATTCATGATTTTGACCTTCAAGGAAGGTCGACAAATCTTTGTGGACCATTTCTGTTCATCGTATTGATCCTGCTTATCATATAGTTGTGATGTACTTAATTAATTTCATTATTTGTGTGTGGGGTGCGGGGTCTGCAACGCACAGAGCGTCTACGGGCTATTGGCATGCTGGAAACTGGCAGAAGTCAGGGCACAGTGGCCAATACTTTCAATGTTTCTCAGTCTGTGGTTAGCATGAAACACATACCAACAAACCCAAAAGATCGTCACAGGTCAGCGACAAGAGTTCAGGATCGGTTGATCCGAACCAGGCTCTACGAAATCGAGATCAAATGGCAAATCAAACTTTCATTAGGCTACTGGAGTACGAGTTGCGCATCAGATGGGCTCGACGGCCACGTATTGTGCTGCCCCTTACAAATCTTTATAGTGCCAACAGACGTCAGTGGTGTTCACAAAGTCGAAACTGTGGTGATCGCGGCTGGTCACGTGTCATGTTTTCAGATGAGCCCCGATTCTCTTCCTTGATAGGCGTTGTCGTGCCTGGCGACGTCGAAATGAACGTCAAGCCAATGGCAACCTCGTAAGACCTCGTGTCAGATTTGGCGGTGGATCAGTTATGGTGTGGGGTGGCCTCACTATGATTGACCGAACCCCACTCCATATTGTGCAAGGAAGGGTCACTGGGCAGTAATATCGGGACAACATACTGACACCCTTTGTTGTCCCGTTTGCAAGGCATGTGGGGCGACGTATTATCTTTCAGGACTACAACATCCATGCTCACTGTGCACAAATTGTCAGTGCTCACCTCCAGCAAGACAACATCCATAGAATGCCATGGCCAGCGATGACCCCTGACCTTTATTTAACAAATCTGGGACACGATCGTGAGAAGTGAGCACTTATTACCAGAAAGTAATATCGTAGCGTAAGTTTGGAAATTGGAAATTATATCCGAGTATCCCCTACTTTTTTGGAAGAGAACAGAATGGCGTCTGCATTCAGCGGAAAACCGGACACAGACAAATCCCCACTCTTTCCTCTATGTTCCAAAATAAGCATACAGAATTGCAAACAAATGTTGTTTTGCAAATGTAAAACGTTAGTGTAGCAAAATATAAATAATGGCTAAATAATACTGCTTGAGTTCTATTTCAAAATCGAGGCCGCCCCAAGTAAACCCTTTTTGACCAAAAGATAACCCAAGTAGTTTACCTAAGATTACCTTAGTTTGTCCATGTCAGCACTGATTTACGTCATACTTCGGTTGCCCTCAGTTGCCCATACCCACTGAACCTCTGGGTGCGATATTTATTGATTCAACCTTGAACAAAAGCAGTTTAATGTTTATAATTAACTATATATTGGTCGTATATGTAATCTGATTTGCGTTAGGGAAATTTGTCTTTCGATTATTGATAAATTTACTTTAGACTCACCAATGAAACTTTGCTGATCATTTTGCATCTCTGTTTCATGGTCTTCGTTTGTTTTACTTATCGTTGTTTATGCATTATTTAGAAAATGTACAATGACAGCTTTGTCAAGACATGTAATACTTATAAACCAATGGTAGCAATACACATGACTTTTGTGTTTCTCCCTCTGCTTACCACCATTTGATATTATATCTGAGGCTGCATTTTATGCGTTATATTTTGGATACTGGCCAATGTAATTTTTGCTTAGATAACCCAGGTTGAATGTACTCAACCCTGGTTGCCAGACATGTGGTAACATTGGTTGACTCAGGTGACGTACCGTTTTTCGTGTGAAAGTCTTTGGCAATTTTCATGACAGAGGCACGTGCAGGTATAGAAGAAAGTCCTTGTGATTTATTAATCATTGAAACATGTTTTGTATGAATTAAATTAAGTATTCTGGGTTTTTTACAGTAATAATTCTGGTAGCCTTGGCTTTCATCAGGGGTAACAGAAATCATTTCATAATTTGATCCCACCCTAGAGAGATAATGTAAACGCTAGTAATAAATGGTCGAGGTTTGTTGAAATCACAATCCCTTTACAACTATTCCACACTGACTGACAAGTATGAAAGCATTTTTAATTGCATGATTGCTTAAGGGATGTGTTACAAATATAAAGTGTCCACACCATACTGACATCACTTTCTTAATGAAACTATGTACATGTCATTTGGCGTGCTGTTCCCATGGGTGCATGCTTTCATTCTTTACAAGAGTGAGACCACTTATAAACGACTTTTCCAAGCTGTAAAATACGAATTCCCTGACCACTCGCCATCTTGTGTTTTCTGGGACTTTGAGACTGCTGAAAGAAACAATGTGAAGACTGTGTTCCCCACTACAGATGTCAAAGAGTGTTATTTCCATTACACCCAGTGTTTGTGGTGAAAGGCCCCGAGAACAGGACTCCAGCATCTGTACCAGACAGATGATGATGTACGTCGTTTTGTGAGACGAGCAGCTGCCTTGACACTAGTGCCAGTGAACTTGGTAGAAGGTGTTTGGTTTGAGGTTATCAACAATGGTCCAACGCATATTGACACTGTTTCAAGATTTGCTGACTATGTGACTGAACAATGGGTGGAAGACCTACTGCCATGGCAGTCCTGGAACCACTTCCAGACAGAGGGGCCCAGAACCACCAACCATGGTGAGGGGTGGCACAGCACATTAAACAAGAGTAAAAAGATGTTAACTGTACTGAAAAGAGAACAAGCCGTGACAAAAATAAGTATTTAGCAGCTGAACCAAAATGACGTCACAAGACCACAGAAAAGAATTTCAGAGAGCTTGGAGAAACGTTGAACACCCTTATGTTGGAATTTACTACTGACGAGACCTGATGTCGTATGTAGATGCAGTGTCACATCGTCTGCACATTCCCAGTGTCAGAGACAATTGACAAAAACGTTTGTAAAATTATATGACATTGAAGCTCTCATTACATGTAAAATGTGTTCATGTAACCATTGAAAATAATAATGTGTGAACATGCTGATGCTGAAATAAAACCTAATAAAATATTATCTAAAACATCCCTTTGTATTATATTATATCTTATAATTATGCGAATTAATCTAATTATACGTTGATGGCAGACGGTCACTTCATAGATATTACCTGAAACAGACTATAGTCAAACAGGCTATAGAAATGTCAGTTAACAGCTTGGTCACACACCGCTGACTTTGAGAGGCACTGGACCGATTTGGAGCTTGTTGAAATGAACCCATCATTATAAGGAGCAGTGTTTGCACTTTAAGAACATGTTTGGTATTCAAAAAGGCAAAATTGGTTATTTAGTTACCGCCTAAGAGGTAACTAAAAATGAAGGGAATTAAACATTTTTTGTACATAAGCAAATAAAAAATACAAGGAGGCGGTCCCTCAATCTTGACCTCGTCTCATATATAACAACCATAACATATATATTGTACCCACAGAGGCTGCATGTCATTTACAGCTCTTGTACAGGATGAGCTGTTCTTTAAGGATTTATGTAGAAGCAAACACCATCGTCATAAACTAGTTGTACTTCCGGGAAATCTATGAGCAACCTTTACATGTTGCTTTTACAGAGCAAGTCAATCGTGACATATTGTTTCAAAACAATACCCTGTGCAGATCCGTGGCTGAATAAGTCATTAGTACCCCATGTGAGTTGTAACAGCAGAATAACATGAGGATCGGGAGAACCTGGCATCATCACTATATAGTCGGAATCTTACAAGTGACTGGCTCTGAATATGGTAGTTTTTGTCGCTTTTTTCAGTAACAATAAACGTCATAATTACACATTGATGACCGTATTCAAAAGTTTTATTCCAAATGTTCAGACCCCAAGTATATCAGCCCACATCGTCGGATCAGTCAATATATTAAAATATATACATGACATGTACCTCCTCGATCTTAATAAAGATGGTTTTCAGAAGTTATTGCAAATGGTTTTGTTATGTATGGAAATCTTCCCACTTTACCTTATTTACAACGTGTGACCTGGCTGATCGTGTGGCACCATTCCCCGATGGCGTGGAACGTTGCTCATGTTGTTACCCATGGTGTGCCTGGACCAGCTAGGGTTATATAGAGACCGTGATTAGCTGGGACACTACACTAACCCTCTCACTGTGAACAAAAAGTGTAATACGTCAGATCCATCTGTTTGAAGACCCCATACACAATGGATACAGCTTTACCTTATTTTCTGTACCATTCATGTCTGTATGAACATTATGTTTGTAACTAAACGGTATTATTCAGCTAAATTGGAATAAGGCTTCTGACATAGATCTTATGTTATACCACTTCGAAACGGGGAATATATCCGTGATTAATATATTAATGAATCACACATCCTATCTACTAACGATTTTATAGATTAATGTAAATAACAACGACTAAACCCTTTGACGCAAAAGTATTCAAAGATTTGAACTTGAAGGAACATACATTCACTCTACTTGCATAGTCTGGGCATGACATGGGATGTGGAGTGCTTTCAACCATTAATCGTCTCTTTGACACCATGGGTAAAGTAGACCCTGTAATCATTAAAGGAAAGGTACCACCCACGATGTTGATATCACAGAAAGTGGAATGGGATTAACCTCAAGGGGAATGGGACAAGTGTGAGACCCTTTAAAGTCATCTGAGCAGTTAATGATCCCACGCGCATTATTACCACTGCCTCTTCAACATACTGTAAAGAAAGAAAGATGTGTATATTCCGAGGTATCTGAAAACGTTATAACAGCTGTGCATTATCACAAATTGGGATGACGAGAATGGAAAGACGCACATAGAATTTATCCTTGGCCCAGCAAAGGCTGCAACGACCCATTGACATACATGTACCATTCCTCAGCTGGAATTCATGCACAGCAGTGGTAGCAGTAGAAATTGGAAGGTTGTTGTGTGAGTGCTTTGACATTCAATGTACATATACATCTGTCAGCTATTACACAGATAGTAGGATTCTACTAGGATACATTTATAACAAACTAGGAGGTTTTCAGTGTATTTTGCCAATAGAGTGGCTGGCATCAGGAAAGTATCGTCTCCACAACATTGAAAATAGTGGCAACAGATTCCATTCCGGAGGATAATGCAACAAGAGTGGTCTAGGCCAAGTTAATTTGGAGCAGTCCATGGCTTCAAGGACCTTCTCAAATCCCTGAGACAGATCAGCACATGGACACTGTGTTTGAGGACTCAGAAAGTAAAACAGAATTGTTACAAGTGTTTCACACGGATAATTTCGCCGTGAGAACTTCTCAGACGGGAATGGACATTTTCAAGAGCTGATGTGTTAACACTGAAGCAGACTTTTCATGTACAAGTATTGTGAGCACCAAACTTACGTTGTGTATGAACGCTCTATCACTAAACAATTTCAAAATAACGTCTATGGAAAAGAGGACATGATGAAGAAGAGTAAATTGCCGTCTCATTAAGGCATCTTTGAGTACTGGTCACAAAAACAATCTTATAGTCCCTGGCCATAATCACATCGCAGCTCTTCTTGTGTGCCATTACCATGAACAAGTAAAACATCAGGGGCATACATGTACAGAAGGAGCTGCCGCAAGCTCCGTGATCACGAAACCCAACTCAGAAACCCTGATCTGGCGGCGGTCCTCCTTCGTCTTGTCTGTGGTCGGTCGTCAAAAGACCAACTAGAGGAGATCAAGCAAATAGTAAAAGATGGGCTTGGCATTGAAGTAATTGGGGAGCTTCGTACTTCTGCTTTCATGAATGCTCTGAGGCGGTTCCTGTCTATCAAAGGGAAGTGAAGAAGCTCATGTCTGATCGTAGAAACAACTTCTCAGTGGCAGCATGCGTTCTCAACATTAATAGCATCAAGGGAAGTTTAATTGAAAAAATAAACGAACACTAATGGGAATAACATGAGAAGACTTCATCAATCCCAGCATTCAGTATACAGTGTAATCATGGATACATTACATAGAACTTATTATCTCCATGCAAACATCATTACCATATAAAGCGTTACTCGTCAGTGAGTTCATAGTCCCGGGGTATTAGGTAATGAGGGCATGCAATTCCCCGTTGTGTTACCATGGATCTGGAGACTCTCAATCAAACTTCAATTACAGGTAAGTTCATATAATTTTTCATTCTCCATCACCATGGTAACACTGGGGAATCATATGATACTTTAGAGCAACGGATGCATGATGACATATTTACATAACCACTGCATCCATTCAACATATACACAAGTACACGTTCCTCAAACAAAAGAAAACACAAATATACAAATTCATGTAATTGAATTGAATTAAATACCTTCCGACATCTGCATGGAAAACATTCCTGTGAACATATTAACATCTCGTATATGGTCCAGGGGAAACTACTCCATCACGACTAGCTTCATAATCCATATCTACCGCAACTCAACACAGACTAGAAAAGTTATTACTTTGTTTAGAACCTATACAACGCTTACAGAATTTGGCGAAAGTGTTTCCTCTGGTCCAACCTGCAAAGTTCAATACAGTATCCATTTTAAAACCAGAGTCGATTGTACAGTTCCGACTATATAATGAGTATGTGTGTCATAACAAATGTGTCAAATGTTTAAGGTTTGGCACAAGCGAGGAAAAAGAGGATCAAAGCTGTATGTTGAACGAAAAAGTTCCCTTTCCACAGACACATATAATCACATCACAGGTAACTGCTGACATGCAATGCCTCGTGAGAGACTGACTGACAAATGACAAACCATCAGTCCCAATATATTGTGAATAGGGTGTCTCAGCCCTGGATTTCCTGGCAGATGAAGTAGGTTTTCTGGGATGCTACAGGACTGGAGGCTCAACCAACATCCTCTTGCCTACAGGCCACCAGTGTCCGGCTGGCCAGTCCAGCAGTATTACGACCCCCTCTGTCCTGTCTTGTCTCATCTTGTGCAGGACTCATCCTGTCTATCAGGTTGAAGGTGTTGTATTTAAAAAATTAAAATCATACAGTGGTATTCTTTGAGTACTGACTAAACTCTAGTACTTTTCATTTTTGGGATACTATATCTGCTCTTGGAGAAACCTGAAATTGAAAAAGAAACATATGGTAAAATCAACTGAGATGTGTACTCTCTTTTGCCCGTCAGTTGAGATATGAGTGAGTGAGTGAGTTGTGTTTAACGCCGCTTTTAACAGTATTCCAGTTATATCGCGGCGTGTCAGCTTAATGTGGGAGGAAAGCCCGAAATGATGCAGGTCTCAGACGTTTATCACTTCGGTGAAACCCACGAGCACGGGTATGGTGTTGACAAACCTAGAAACATAGTCGGGGCGAACCGGGATTCGAACCCACAATCATAGGTTTCTGGCGTGTCCACGGGACTCTGCACAGCGAATCGCGGCGCCTTAGACGACTGGGCCACCCGTGCCCCCGTTTAGATATGAACAGGTCAGTAAAAATCTATAGGCATGTTGTATAAAATCACCAGCCGTGACCTTGACCTTTAACAAATTTGACCCCAAACCAAATCGAGACTCCTTCCGGTCGTTTAATTGTACCAAGTTTGAATTAAATCCGATAAATAGTTTGGCAGTTATTGTGTCGCCATGCCTTTTTTAGCCATTTCTTGTAAACAATGACCTTTACCTAGCAGGTGACCTTGACCTTATTCAAAGCCTATCCCCAGGGTTACATGTTTTTAGGGGAAGTAAGTCCGAGGCAATTGTCAGTGAAAACCAATATGATCAAACAGGCGTACTAGAATGACACAAGTATAATCAAATTATGTATATCTCGGCTGGCGTTGTAATGATGGTTATGAAATCATGCAGAAATGGAAAATATCTGTTTGGGCAGAACTGTGTGCTGACGTTTAATGATAACTGTGTTTATTGTTTTGCAGCTAAGCAGAGATAGAGGATGTGACTGTTGGAATGAACCTGGGTGTAATTTGAACATTAAAAAGAATAACCTGGTCAAAAAGTAAATAATTAAAAGTTATACGCGTCACATTTGGGGGAGGGGGGTGTTTCAAAACGTACGGAATTATTTATTTTTTTATCCTACATCGAACTTTTGAACTGGTTCCTTGAATAGTTCGCTTTCACATGCATGGGGTACGAGATCCTCATGTACAAAATGTCCGGGCATTTTAATACTCCACATCTGCAAAGGTGTTTGCCCCTACGGTGAAAGTGGAGGAAACTGCATTATCAGTGGTCGAATTTCCACCAATTATAACGTACCTTATGTAATATAAAAATTAAAATCAAAAGCTATGGCTGTTAAAGGAACAATTTTATGAAGCGCAAACATGAGAACATAAGGATGGGATGTTTCCGTAGTATTGAAAACTGCACTTAATAGAGAATTTGTTGGATATATACAATTGAGTTTCCAAAGATACGTTTTATTATGCATAGTTATTTTCTTTCATAATATTCCACTAGTGTATTCACATTGATACATAAAGTAACATGATCTAAAATGGTTTATATAGTCAAAAATAAAAAAAGTTGATTGAATGACTAACTTTTTCCTAATCAAGGTACTCTCACAATCAACATTAACAAACACATTGTCAAAAAGATTGCAATGTTTTGTTGTAAAGTACTTACAGGATGTAACCATGACTACACGAGTTCAATTTAATTTCAAGTTTATGTCGGGGTTTTGGGGGTTTGAGCTGACGGAGTGGACGGTGGGACCACGAACGAAGACCGTGACATAAGTTCGTAATGTCCTCACTTTATACATAGTATATCATTCATTTGAAATATATTGCCATGTCATACAAACGTCATTCGACATCTTATCAGCTAGAGCCTCGATATACAGCGCTATGTATCTTGTTTCATTACGTCACATTCGAAAAGGTAAGTGTAAACAAACTTTGTTATTTGTTATCAATGGCTGAGCAGCATGGAAGTCAACGCGCTGTAACCGAAAGTTCAGGTTATGTGTAGTGTGTGGGAATAAGGTGGGTAAAGAGATTGTGTCTAATGGGTATTGTCATATATACTACTATAAGAATGTGAAGGACACTCGATAGTTATCATATGACTATAGTTTATCTCTCATGGGGTGTTCTGATCGGGTGTTCTGTAAGTTCGTTTTAGTAGTATACTTGACATATGCGTAAAAATCGTTAAACAATTGCGTGGCTGTGAATATAGAACCGTTTATACTACACTGCAAACGGCTACGTGGTGTTACTGGAGTAGGGGAAGGCTCCTATGTGCCGTGTGCCGGGAGCCACAAGGAAGTGCCAGTAAGCGTGAACCCAGGGGAGAGTTAAGTTACATAGACTGGCGGCAAGCCTCCCTCGCCAGATCCTTTATTACGAGGCTGTAGAAATACGGGACGCCCCTCACTCACATCTGTCTCCAGAACTCTCACGCCGACTTCTTGAGATAATTAAAATATTTTTTCAATGTTCTGCACTTTTTAATATAAAAATGTATTTAGTGTTTGTCAGAAAAGTTAGTTACATAGTTTACTTAATCAATTCTGGTTTATTTACGGTAGACGAATTTATATGACCATAGTGTTATTGCCAAACCCTTCAGTCAATTCTAATTGATCCAGACTGCACAATATCAGGGGAAATCATCATTACAGAAGAAGAAGAAGAAGAAGAAAATTATTTTATTATAGTGCCACCTGGTGTTTAAAAACAGTAAAAAACATTACACGTATACATACGTATGATTGCACTTAAAATCATTAAATTATCCATTATATAAATTGGCAAGAATAATACACGAACATAATCGAAAGTACACACACACGCACGCACGCACGCACGCACGCACGCACGCACACACACACATAAATATTACACGCATTTCATTTTCAATCACACATGCAGTGTACCACATCCACTCAATATCACGTGCGCATACATCACATACAAACACTACCCACATACTCATCTATCATTCACAAAAACATACACATTATATACATCACTGCCCGGCACGATACATCTCTGTAGTGTTTTTGTACCGTTAACAAAGGCGAAAATATTGCATTAGTGTGTCGCATCATGTATGACGAACAATACACAATAAATTACTAAAAATACAACATCTGGCCGATTCAAATAACGGGGATTGCTGATTGTAACAACCTGTAAATACCTCCCATGGTAGGTGAGACGCCGTTTATGCTCCTGATTAGAATCGGTCGTCAGCAACCCATGCATGTCGTAAAAGGCGATTAACAGTATCGGGTTGTCAGGCTCGCTGACTTAGTTGATGTATGTCAACTTATTCCAATTGCGTAGATAGATGCTCATGATGTTAATCACTGGATTGTCTGGTGCAGGTTCGATTATTTACAGACGCCGTCATATAGCTAGAATACTGCTGAGTGCGGCGTTAAACAACAAACAAATCATCATTTATCACCATGCATTTGGTGAAGTCTACCGTAAGGACGAGCGCAGGATTCTCTGGAATGCTGAGAACACCGCAATCTATGTGTACAAAGCTTTGGAATTCCCTTTGCCGCCAACATTTGAGAGAATTACCCTATCGCATCAGCATTGCAATTGCACGTTCATCCAATGGGCTTTTGACGTTCAATGTGTATTGTGTAGTACAGTGGAATATCTGCTTCGGACTTCATTGCGTCAATGTTTTGACATCCAGGGGAAATGAACGTTTTACTTATTGTGGGGCCGAAAGTAAGTCTGATTGTTACAGAGGCCTGTGTTAGGAATATTATAGAAGTATTATTATGAATCATAGTATATTCGGCACCATTGATATCGCCTTGTATTACAAATGCTGATTAGTTAAAGTCCTGTCCCGACAGATTCCACTTTGCACGGTAATATTTGTAAATGTAATAGGTGTGAAGAAAATATGTCCATATTAGCGATAGGGTAGCTCAGTGTCTCAATCAACGCCGAAACTGTCGAGTTCGATTCCTTACATCGGGGTAATGTTTCGTTTGAAGCCCATTCCTGCAGCCCCCCGACGCCGTGATGTAGCCGTTGAAGCGTATAAAACCATACACATGCATTAAGTGCACACAAAGAACTCAAACTTTGGGGTACATGATAACAAAGAAATTTATTCATAACAGAATAATAAACACATATAATATATCCATTGTAATAAAAAAGGTGTGTTAGGTATACCTGCTTCAAATAGCTTCACCAGCAAATATTAACACACTCGGGATACTGTGACACTCAATCAACCGAGTCACCGAGTCCGACCACCCAGTCCACGTAAGTCGCCGCTTACGACAAGCACAGGTTACTTGAGGCAACGCCTACTTCTTTAGGACTCCCCATAGGGTCACATCAACATTTAAGGCCATTAATACATTTATATTTGTTATTCAACGCCGCACTCAGCAATATTCCAGCTAATGACCACGGGTCTGTAAATAATCGAGTCTACACCAGACAATCAAGTGATTGACATCGTGAGCATCGATCACGCAAATGGTATACGATGATATGCATCCCGTTAGTCGTCTTTTACTACAAGCATGGGTTGCTGAAGACCAGTACATGTACTAACCCTCGCGTTCTTGGGGTCGTGATTACATAATTAAGAGAGTATTAGATATAAACACAGAGCAAGTAGTACAAATGACACAATTATTCAAATGAACAGTTCACTCATTCACTTGCCCTAGCGACTGTCCATTACACATACGCAAGACACTGAACTGAACTTTATATACATTTGATGGCTAATGGTTGTGTTGTACAAACATATATCTACAAAATTGAAAATATGGAAAAGAGTAAACTAAGTGAAGAGCCTTTGACTTTAAGTGAAGTGATTCATGTATTAGGGGTGTTCTGTAAACGTCAGATCTGAGAATAAGTTTGTCGGCCTTTGACACAGTGCATGGGTTGCGTCTGTCTGGACTGCTTGAGTACTCAGATCAATGATGCGTGAGTAGATCTCTTGTCCCCAACAGTGATAACTCACCGGATGCCTTTTGTGTAAGTTCTATTCTATGAATGACATTGTTATAAACTTGTCACAGCTGCTGCTGCTTAATAAACCGTAAGGTGCAATATACACTGTATGTGCAACGATTAGACTTGATATGTATCCAGTTACCTGTTGCTAAATTAAGGGAATGTTTGTCTTCATCAACTTTATTCAATTCATTCAATTCATTTCCTCAATATGTCGGCGTCTTTCGGCGGTTCACAAACTCTTCCAGTGCATCTTATCTCACTTATGATACTGTCAATTTCAGAAAACGCTTTTTCTTGAAGATTTAATTTTCCTTTCTCAATAATGACAAGCCTTGCAAGGCTAGGCGATTCTTATTCACCAACCGACAGTGAATGATATCTTCTCCTCAACGTCATCTTCGAAATATTCTTCTCTTTACCCATTCCCACTTTATGACAAATAGAGAATACTAAACGAGCTCCTTTGTAATACTTATTGTATGAAACGAGTGAATAGTTCTGGTATCTCACGATCGAAAGGGAGTCCGATATAAGAAACTATTGACGAGTTTCATAAAAATGTTATTAAACAGGAGCGAGCTTAGTAATTTATTTATTACTTGCCGTTTATAACTTTTCTAAATATGTTACTGACCCACTTTTACAAATATGGAAATGTCATAGAACAAACCAGATGATGTCATACTTGGGTTTTGACTATTTGTTAGGATAGGGATAGGTGACGTCATGTTCAGTAGTGACGTCATCTGGTTTGTTCTATGGCGTTTCCATATTTGTAAAAGCGGGTCAGTGACATTCGTGTTGATTGCAGTAAATGTTTCAAAACCGATATCGTTGATTCTTTTTATTTGATAACAAATTCCATCCTTTTTAGCTATTATAACGGTAACGCTATTTTCAGGGCATTATCATTTGCAGAAACCCTCGGTCTTAATGGAAGACCTCTGGCTTCTCAGGATGCTGCATCAAAAAGATTACAACACGTCACAATACCCTCTGACGTAATATGTAGAATATTGTTACAAGATCCAACCACGAAACAATGTCATGTGACGTCAGCATAGCATCAGGGTTGAGAGGGTCATTGCGTGTGCATACCCTCTCAGTGATCTATCGTCACTACACGCAATGTCGTTGAATAAGCCCAAGGATGTTGGGAGTTTTCAATATTTGTTACTGAAACTTGTTCCCGCAGTATATAAGCACGCGCTTTGGTATAATACAACGTGTTATACAGCTGTATGTTTATTAAACGGGTGATCTCTTTACGGGCGAATAAAAAAACTATATATTCCCTTGGCATATTTTGTCTTCAGTTTAAAATTGTAACTGCAGATATTTCTAAAAAGCAATTCTGACCTTTTGAACAAGTGGCGCCCGGCGTCTCCTTTTGGACTTGAAATGTTGCCATCCCTCTATAACTTGGCTTGATAAAGCTGCGTTTCTCTGCTTACCCCGAAACAAATAACATATTCTAAAATAGCAAGTGATATATTCAAGGACGAATATTGTTTTGGTATTTGCACACATTATCACAATTTGTAACAAAGTTGATTAATCTATTAATGAATGACATGGCATCTTGTAAACATATCTACATATCATTTTGTACATATCATATGTATATATCACGGTATGTTGAATATCCTGTCACTTACCCCCCACCTTTGACACAGCACATACAAGGAGACGTTTATTATCTGCAAAGAAACATAATATTATTAACGTTATTGTTCCACTTTATCACCGTTTAATAAATGTACTTCATGTGTATACAGTGGTGTACACATACCTGATCATATAGCCAGCCCACAGCCCATCTGGTCTCTTTGTCAATTTTCACTCTCATCTGGTCTTCTGTTTCTTTCGGAAGTATTGGTGCTATTGTCAGAATATCCAATTTTGATATTCGGTAGGGACCTATCGTCACTACTATTTCGTCCAATCTTCTGTCATCATTACAGATATCTTGAAACTGAAAAACATACAACAAATTATATCTATATATCAAAGATATCATTGTATCCGCCAAGTTTATATTTCCTTTATATATTGTAAGTGTACTTAGTTATAGGTTACAAGTAACAGTTACAGTTAAACCGCCCTGTAATAACAAACATTATTACATGACTCTCTACCTTAAGGCAGTTCGCCCTGTATCGTAAGCATATTTGTAAAGACGAAAATATCAATATGTTTCATCACACTCACCACATCCTCCGCCGGCAATGGTGATGAATCTGCTTGCGCGGTGGAACATTCCACTTGTCCTAAAATAACAATGACGGATTGTTTCGGCAACAGCTTGCTAAAATGACATATACGTCATGTATACTTTTTTTATTACTTGTACTTATATACATTGCAAGTGATTCCATGGCATTTCATTGACTAACCAAGGAATTTTAGGCGGAAACAATTACCGAAAAATATTTAGGTCACTAACGAACAACTGTGTTATGATTGGCTTATGAAGTGTGTGCGCTGTTTTAGCTCGAAATGTTGGCTACAGTTGTTTGTTTAATGAACAGTCTGTGAAGTTACTATCGTTGACGTACTTATTTATGCTTATGTACACAGTGTGCAAACCGGTTTTTACCTTTATACCAACATAAAAGCAAAAGATATATATTGAAGTTAATTCTTAAATGTAACACGTCAACGACAGCGATTAACCAGTCTCGATAATCTGACGAAACAGATTCCACTGGGCGTAAAAGGCTCAATAGTGGTGATAGTTAAAGGAAATATTCCGCGTTGTATGCGGTTGTGAAAAAAAATATACTTTGTATTTTTAATTAGAATAAGTCGCCAGCGCTTGTCTTAAGAGACGACTAAAATGTATCGGATGATAACACTTATTATGCCAACCACTGGCCCAGGTTCTTGAATTAGAAGAATTGATATAGAAGAACTGTTGGTGAAAGCAAATGTGTGGCAAAAGTGGGTACTTATTTCATATTTGATCTTTTAGTTACTTATATATGAAACCCGTATGAATGAAAATATTGAATATAGAATACTTACCAGCACGTTGGAAATCCAGACTTTGATAATGTGCTTCATGATAGTGACCTAACATCATAGCCGCTCCTGGTCCACCAGATATCATTACAACATTGCTGTCGGACGCGGTTCCATCTTCGGAACTTGTGAAAACGGCAATGTCCTTTTTGAGAAACTGCGATGTTCTCTGTACTACAAGGTGATCAACGTATTCACCCGGTGTAGACATGGCCTCCAAGTAAAGGTTCCAGGTTTTGTGCCGTTGCACATCGACAAAATTGGATAGGTGTGTGCCTCCTTCCTATAGAAAACAAGTATATATAATTGACGTTACACAAGCAGGTTTGGTAGCATTTTAATTAGTAATTCATCATATATCAATTTTAGGCACACTTAGGGTGTGGGTGTAGTATTGTGGCTGAAACGTTTGCTTGTCACGCCGCAAGCCATTGTTACATTTCCCACATGAGTACCATCTATGGATCTAATTTCTGAGGTCATCAACGGTTCCATTGACCGGCTAAAACCACAATCACTCTCTGAAATTAAACACCTACATGCGCCTTAAACTCTAATCATAGCGAGGTGAGGTTGAATGGGGCGAGGAACAAGGAGCTGTCATCTATTCGCTGTGCAGAGTTACGTCCATTAACCATGTTAGAAAATACCGACCATGTACACAGCTATAGAACTGACCTTATCCTCCACTTTAGTCGGCATGTTTTATGCCAGTCTTGGAACTGCCTTGTCCAGCGAAATTTCGTACCTCCACCTGAACCCCACTGAATACCTGTGTTATGAATTTGAATGATGTGCGCAGACATCCTGTATCATCTGTATTCACTTATCGAGTGTATCTGCACCCGAAGGGCAACCCCAGTACCCTCACCAGACCAATAACACGTCACAATGGTTATCTGCATGGATTCTCCATGTGATTCCTTGACAATGCTGTTTTCCATTATGTTGTTATCTGATTATGTATTATCCTTTCGAAATGTGTTCCTAGACACAGATTAATTTGAAGCCAATACTAGCCTATTATACTGTACTCGCCTAAGCATATATCAGTGGCATGCGTCTTCCATGACAGCTCGCCCTTATATAGAAGGGTTCTGTATGAGCTTACATATGCACAAATATATGGTCCGGTGTGCACTTACATAAGGATACCTCCGTAGGCTGTCAACTACTGCCATCATTAGTCCCCTGTGGTCAAACACTGATCTGGTATCGAGGCGTTGAAGCTGATCTACAACTGCGTGGAAAAAACAGTTGCCATCTCCGGCAGTTCTCCCTCTAAAACGCAGCCCGTGTTCGGTTACCGAGGCCAGAAGTCGTTCTGATGTCCCTTGGCAAAACGTTGTCACGTTTGATGGACTAGCCTTCTGCAGTGCTTCTTGCAGTTGTTTCAAGGTAACTTTGTGATCTGTATCATACAAAAGTACAATAAAAAGTAGGCAATATGTGTGTGTGTGTGTATATATATATATATGTGCGTGTGTGTGTGTGTGTGTGTGTGTGTGTGTGTGTGTGTGTGTGTGTGTGTGTGTGTGTGTGTGTGTGTGTGTGTGTGTGTGTGTGTGTGTGTGTGTGTGTGTGTGTGTGTGCGCGCGCGCGCACATGTGTCAATCTAGGCACGGATCGAGTCTATAGTCTGTGTGTGCATATCTTTAAATATTATGTTCACTAGGATGAGTCGTAACGAGGATATTCCATCACTGCCATACAGTCAAACACTTGTATGCAGAAACCCTAAGTTCAAGATGAAAATGCCCAAATGATCAATACTGACACTTCTCAATTCTTCGTTATAGAGAATTCCCAGGAGTTTCCCATGGGGATGTGGAAGAAGTCCGCCATTGTTTACGACAATTTCTGAAATACAGTATCATGAAGACATGCATCTAAATTTCAATGTGTGTTGTTCATACGCTTATAAACGTCAGTTTCGTGGTCATGTGACCGGCCTCTTGACATGACATGTGACTTCATGACATGTGAACTTCACATTAAAACATTATATTAATGTGTTAAAAATACATGCAGGTCAACAGATTCATCAGTGAAATGACTAATATTTGATGCCGCTGTTAGCACTATTCTAGCAATATCCCATACAGGGACATAAGACATTTGCTTCATGCATTTCCCACGTGTGAAATCGGACATTGACCATCGGGAAGAACACCGACCTCTAGGGTACCACACTGCCCAACAGATACATAAATGTTACTTACATTTGAGCGATATTTTCTTGTGCTTCTGTGCGTCTTCAGTCCTCGTCCAAAGGTCTGTTTTCCCTGTAAATATGAAAGGTCAACACCAGAACGATTATCTCGATTATCCGACGAAGCAGATTCCATTGGTTGTAAAAGGAACAATAGCCTTGAAAATTATATGAATGGATCACTGAAAAACAACAGATAAAGTTTAACATGCCATTGTAAAAGTTCAAATAAAATACAACAAGAGCCTTTATTATTTCTTGTCATCTAACTTATAATTAGACAAGGCACGTAATGGATGCTAAATCATGCTGCATGTTTAGGTACATGTATATCAACATGTTAGAAATAAATTGTATCAATTTACCTTCTTTTTCTGCTGCATTGTCCAAATCTGGAAGGTAAAATGTCACTTTGGAAATGAAATACGACGCTTGTGCGTGCTGATTGGCGTATATCGTCAAAATAATGTCAACCTATTATATTGTATTCAATTTCTTCATATGGACGGTGGAGTACCCTAGTGGTTAAACGCTTGCTGGTCACGCTGAAGACCCGGGTTCGATTCCCACATGTGAAGCCTATTTCTGGTGTCCCTCGCCGCAATATTGCTGGAATATTGATGAAAGCGGCGTAAAACCATACTCACTCACTCACTTCCCAATAAACGTCATACATGATCATGTCATAGAATGCCACTTATAAGTTCTTACCTGAAAGATGCAGGCGGCCAAACTTGTCATGACGTATTTCACCATACGAAATGTCTGTGTACAGTTTTCCTTTGATTGCTTCTGTCATTTTCCTGTTTGTATGTTCATTGTGAAAATGTAGAAGCAATCGCAGGACAAACATGTAGTTTCCCGGCGACATCGCATCTAGAAAGTAGTTGTTCCGGTTCATTTCCCTGTGCAGCTGCTCTTCAACTTGTGAATTTATTGAGCCCTTCATTTCGGGAACAAACGTTATACGCCTTAGGAGTTCCTCATCTGATTTTGTATTCCCTTCATGAAACCTATCCAGCAAACAGAACGTTTCATTTGAGGTTGGCAAATCATAGTCGGAGACTGGTGCTACTGTCACCCATTCCTTCATGCAAGGTATACTCTTTGAAAATACCCCCTCCTTAGCTTTTTTTATGTTGTCTGCAGTCGCTTCACCCAAGCGTCCTTCGTTGGGCGAGAACATGTTCTTCCGCCGCTTGTTACCATGGCGTGACATCATTGGGGCTACGTCACTAATGATGACTGGCGGTTGTCTTGACATAGATAGAATGATGTCGACATGGTCTCTGACACTTTCAGGCCTCAGAATAGCTTTGAATGCGTACACTATTCTATGGGGGCAGGACGCTGATACCCATCCACCTGAATGAACATTAACATAGTGATGGGACACATTTGGTTTAACCTTGCTTTTAATAGTATACTATATACTCCAGTAGTCAGATTGTGGAGTTTCAAGTTACAAAATGACATTCCATTAACAGACTCAGTGCTGATTCTTATGCAGAGGGGGCTGGGGATGGCCTATCTTGAAGACATTTAACGAAAATAATATTACCAAGCAAAAGCAATTGTGTTACAAAGTAAGTAGTTATTTTGCATCATTTAGTCTGGCACTTGAATGTGGGAACACACACTATATATGTTTTATTCATCATTTTAAATGCAATAGTAGGCATAATTACCAGAATGGCCCCATATGCTTGAAAATAACTTGTTGAAGGTTGATTTGCTTTTCAACTTTTCCTTCAAGCTGTTGATCATCTCTAATTTGGTCCCTTTGGCGTCTACTTCCATCTTTGTACACCAGTGCCGTACATCCAGAACCTACATGATATGATATAGAAAATGTCGAAAACATGAGTGACTATGCTTATCATATCATATCATATCATATCATATCATATCATATCTCAATTTGTAATATTACTACCTACGCATATCAAGATTGCAAGAATTATACAAATGTGCCTAGTTGATATCAATAAGGCCTTTCGATTATGTCATATTTACCTTCTTTTCACATAACATTTGGATCAGGAAATCTTCAGTCAGTTCCTTATCCCCTGTATCAAAATCTGTATCTCGAAGATGGGTTCTGAGAGATCGAACTTTTTCAGCTTCAGTGTTGAAAGCATTTTCATCTTTTCTGGCTAATCCAATGAAAGGAGCCCAGTTGTCATAACTAGGTGTAACACGCCCGACGTTGGCTGCTTCTGTCAGGGAATGAAATGATAAATACATTATAGTGTATATAAACAATATCCTTACAGTAACTTTAATTTTAGTTTTCCCCCCCCCCTCTCTCTCTCTCTCTCTCTCTCTCTCTCTCTCTCTCTCTCTCTCTCTCTCACTCACTCACTCTCTCTCTCTCTCTCTCTCTCTCTCTCTCTCTCTCTCTCTCTCTCTCTCTCTCTCTCTCTCTCTCTCTCTCTCTCTCACACACACACACACACACACACAGACAAGATGAGTCATTTATAATACAATATGAGGATTTGCACCTTTTCCAAAACCCCGAAGTAAAATAGACGCCTCCACCGTTTGGCTCCAAAACACATCCATGTTGATTCCATCTGTAGCTGTTTCTGTCCCTGGTACTTGTGACACTGTAAGCAATACATGTTTACCATAACAGACGAGAGAACAGGGATAAGGAAACATCATTATGGGATATTGTTTGTGATCAACCATGAGATAATGGACCTTACATTTTTGCTTTCCATTTTTACATTTTGAAACTACATCGTTAATGCGCTTATACATTTCTTAGACACTGGAAATTATAAATTAGACTTACATGCTAATGGAAATGCACATTTCCTATTTGCATCTGTCACCAGGCAACATGGAAAACGGCCACAGATGTCACAGGTAAAGTTGTACTTGTGATCGCACATTGCCTCAAAGTGCAGATATCCCTGTAACATTTTGTCTCCGGGAAAATGTAAGCCGGAATCTTCTGATAAGATATCGGCAGCCCTTCCAACGGCTGTATGATTCTGAAACCATTAAGCAGGCGAAATTGATCACATTCATTATGCCGATATTTTAAACTAATCCTAAGTTAACAGTCAAAAGTGTTTAAAGTCCGAATGTCACCGGCCCACATCAAGTGCATATATCAACAAACAATGCGCCATACAACAATCAGATATCACGATCACATAAATATGCAAAGTGTTGTTTTGGAGAAGGGAGTCGTCCATAAACTAACTAAATTAGGTATAATGTACCTTCAAGTTAACTCTGAACCAGTGGCACAGGCGAACTGACAGGAACACGTGGTCGTCAAAATTGTGTATACCATCCCTGTGCTCTTGGTACCTGTAGAAGTGACCGCACGCTTTGCACTTCTTTATGATAACTGATTGCAAATGGTGGCACTGATAAATACCTACATTGCCCCTTGCTGCAACACCCAAAGCTAAATTGCAATTTTCATGTTCACATTGTATCTGCTGTGTGACAGTGTTCATTTGTACATGAAGTGGGTAATCTGGACCGATACTGGACTTGCTGATCATGTAGAGACCGCGGTGTTTATCAACGCATATTCCACGTTGGTATGACTTGGTTTTCACTTCATCTCGTGCATTGTGTGTCTCAATATGTCTTTTAATGTTTTTCTTAGAGATCATTGCATTGCAGACAAAACATGTCACTTTCGGAACTTGCTCTCTCTTCACTTTTTGGATTTTAGGGGACTCTGCTGAAGTTCTTTCCTCAGAAGCTGTCTGGTTTGTTGTCAGAACAAAAGGGCAAACCGTGGTCGTGAGTCGGACAAATGTGAACTTTCTCCGGAAGAGTTTACCACACGGGCAGTGGTAATGGCACCGGTCTTGTTTCGGAGTACAATCCAAAAAGCAGCTTAACACCCATAAATCTGCAAGGACACAAATACGGATTATTATACCGGACCGCCTCCGTGGTCTAGTGGTAGAACGTCCGCCCGGTGAGCGGAAGGTCCGGGGTTCGATCCCCGGCCGCGTCATACCAAAAGATGGTACTTGTTGTTAACATGTCTGGCGCTCGGCATTAAGGTGCTTAAACAAGGACTGGTCGGCTCGGAGTCAGTATGCTGTCTCTGTGTGGGGTATTCATGTTAAACTGTGGCATGGTATCTCAGTGAGCTAGCACTATAAAACGGCATCAGTCCGGACCAGTACAAGCAGCCACTCACACAAACACGAGCATGCACGTCGCTAAATAGTGCAATAATCTTCGAGGCGACGTTAAACCCCATTTTACCTCACCTCACCTCACTATTATACCAGATAAAATGGTGCGTTGGGCTTGTGAGGTTGTGTAATGGACACCGTTTTACACGTATGCGTAATGCCACGTATACGCTAGGTACATACCACGCAATATTAGATTAATAACAAACACCAATTTATACATACCCCCAACTTTGACGGCATGTTGTGTGTGCTTGTTGATGTGTCCTTCCTTGACATTGTACCGCCGTGACGTTGATTCAGGACACAGTTTGCACTGGAATATTCCATCAACTTTAGCCAGTAAACTCTTACATGTGCCGAGCTCTTTTGTGTGCCATATGTCTTCATTCTGTAGACAAAGGTAGAAAGTGTAAAATCAACAAGTTTTCAAAAGAAGTCCTATTTTTCTATTGCTTGAGACTCCCGGACACTGAGTGGTGTAAAGCCACTTACATTTATGAGTACTAAATGAAACATAACGCGTCGATATCCATTATCTTCGCCGTGCATTTATGAAAACCTGTAACCAACTGAAGGTAGGGTGCTACAATGTCTAGGTTACATGGCCACTGTAGATAATAATACTCACGTTTGTTTCACAACGTCCATGCCTGGAAGAAATAAAATAATGACAATATATAAACATTTGAAGAAATGTGTACAACCATTAGAATTCTTAAATTTATGTTAACACTGTTACCAGTTTTTAGCACAAGGTGTAGGCAGTTTAAACTAGAACCAATGTCTTTATAACTAGGAATATATGCTCTTGGTTTATGTATATCACAATTCCATTAACGAGTTTCAGCCATCTCTTTCTATAACCTTATATAGTACGAACAATATAGTTAACATATACCATTACTTTCTTATTTGTGTGTTAGTGAGTGAATGAGTGCGTGCGTTCGTGTGTTCGTGTGTTCGTGTGTACGTGTGTGTGTCTATGCAAACGTCTCAATTGAAATAGCCTGAAAACTTAGTGGCACATCTGTGAAGCTCACATGTTTCGCATAGAAAAGGTTTAATATACGGGTTTGAAATATTATAAATATTATTATCTCTTTCCTTTACCATTTAGGCATAAAATAACTTTAAAACAGTCGCTCTATACCCCCTTTTAGAAACTATATTGCTTCCCTTTACTACATGGGGTTGTCTATGCAAACGTTCTTATGGACATAGCCTGAAAACTAAGTGGCACATCTGGGAGCCTCGCATTTTTCGCATCGAAGTAGTTTAAAATACGTATTTGAAATACTATTTTCTCCTTCCTTAACTGTTTAGGCATAAATAACGTAAATGTATTCGCTCTACACCCCGTTTGGAACGCTAAAATACGGGTTTAAAATAGTATTAGTTCTTTTCACATTCATTTAGGCATCAAATAACTTAAAAAGAGTTGTTTAAAAACGCACTTTGGGAAGATATATGGCTTCGCTTTGACACGATCATCGATCCCGATTGCGTGAAGAGATGCGCATCATATTAAATACTGGATTGTCTGGTCCAGACTCGATTATTTACAGACCGCCGTCAAATAGCTCGAATATTGCTGAGTGCAGCGTTAAACAACCAAACAACGAACCAACCCAACCAACACGAGGGGCTGTCTATGCAAACGTCCCTTTGGAAATGCCCTGAAAACGTAGTGGCACATCTGGGAGCCTCGCATTTCTTGCATGCAAATAGTTTACAATACGTGTTTGAAATACAATGTTCACCTTCCTTAACTAGTTAGGCATAAAAAAACGTAAACGGAATCGTTCTGTGTCCCGTTTGGAAAACTATATTTGAAATACTATTTTCTCCTTCCTTAACTATTTAGGTATAAACAAACGTAAAAGGAGTCTCTCAATACCCCCTTTGGAACACTATATGGCTTTCCTTTAACACGGGGGAGATTATCTACACAACATCCCTTTGGAAATAGCCTGAAAACTTAGTGGCAAATCCAGGAGCATGGAAATAGTTTCAAATGCGGGTATGCAGCATTATTATCTCCTTCCTTCCATAAGAATGTTTAATGACATAACAAAACAAAACATAACATAACATAACATAACATAACATAACATAACATAACATAACATAACATGAGAAAAAGTAATATTCAAATGAATGTATTTTACATAAAAAGAACAATAGATACTCATTTCCACTGCGCATATGATAAAGACTAAACCTAAACGCCCTTCACCCTACCGTCATTCAATACGTATTGTCCCCGACATGAAAGATACGTGGAGTGCTCTTCTTTATGAAATTTTAATATTTTACGTTTCACATGCGAGCACATACTAATCGAAAACCATTTGAAACCCATTAAACAAAACTCTGGACATATTATACCCGCAAACATGGAGAAAAGAAACGCCTCTATTTTAATAAATTACTAAAAACTAACACGTGACAATGTACATGTTTCCCAAAGTGGCATTTTGAAAGCTAATCCTGCTTCCTTTCAACGTTGCACGAAAACTTTAAAAAATAGTACGTACCTTGCAAGAAATATTTTTTTGGACATGATCCAGTCTTGAAAGTTACATAGCCCTGTTTGTGAGTTCTCAGCGCTCTGTAAATATCTGAGTCTTATTGAGAGTCTGTTGTGAGATGCCCTGGGTGTGTTAAAGGCTGACCACGGCCTAAGTTTCAAAAATCTGTAGCTAGCTGGTGTTAGCACTTTTATCATGAGGCAGGATGTTCCTTGTTTATATGTATCAGTTAGCCCTGTCAACTTCATGAACCTCATTCTTACAGAATGTCAACCGCATGCCCCATTCTGGGTTTCAGGTAGTATGTGCTTATCTTTTAGGATCTCACAGAAGCACTAAATGTGTTATCCAGTTATTGCTGTGACATCTCTAACTCCCTAGAAACTCCTCTGGGATCTGGAACTTGCCACAGAATGTATCACGTCACAATAAACAAACAAGTCCCCTAACAGACCCTAAAAGGAAAGAGTCTAGAGAGTCTAGACTTCTTGTTTCCAAAAATGAAGATATTCATTCTGGATTAAGAAAGGGCTACCGAACATCAAGTAATGTATTTGTTCATAAAATATTTATTTAATAGTTTTAACAAAAAGTAAAAAGAAAAATGTATACACTTCCTTTGTAGACTTTCAAAAGGCCTCTGATTCAGTTGACAGAGCACTACCCCTAACAAAGCTATTTCACATAAAATGTCAGGAAATAGTTCTTATAAAGTGAAAATTGACGGGGCATTTCACAATCCTTTAAATCCAACATCGGCATAAGACATGGGTGCATTTTGTCTCCCAGATTATTTAATATATTCCACAATGATCGTCCACCACATATCAAACAAGAAAATAACAAAATAACACTTAATGCTTTAAACATTTGTCATTTGTTGTTTGCCGATGACTTTGTACTTTTTGCCACTTCCAAAAATTCTGCACGAGTTATTTGATGGTCTAAGAGTATTTCGTGTAACAAATAACCTAAAGATTAAAGGTGAAAAAACAAATGTTGCAGTGTTTGGCAAATCAAGTAAAATAGAAGAAACGAATACTTGGACCTTGGTTGGTGCAAAAATTCTAGTTATGGATAGATATAATTATTTATGAATAACATTTGAAGCAAATGATAAACTTAATAATAGCGCCAAACCTCCCTTGAAATAGGGTCTAGGTACTACCATAAGCTTCAGTCTACCAATAATCTACCCAAATCTGGGGTATAGACGCAACACCCCTAGTCTGAACAACTTTGATTAATTAATCCCCGAGAAACTGCGGCGCCGATGTTGTATATCCATGTTAGGTGTCAACAAAACAACACACAATTGGGCAAGGCGAGCAGAACTAGGATTCTATACTCTTATGTACACAGTACTAATATAAATTACGAATTGCTATCACTATGGTGGTTCTTCAACATAGTGAAATTCTGCTTTACCCACTAGGCTACCCGACCGCCCCGTTCCATGTGATAGGAAAGCCCGAAGTGATGCAGGTGTCAGACGTTAACCACTTCGGTGAAACCCACGAGCACGGTTGTCGTACTGACCAAATCTAGAAACATAATCGGGGCGAACCGGGATTCGAACCCACGATCATAGATTTCTGGCGTGCCCAAGGGACGCGCTTTTCTGCACAGCGAATTGCTGCGCCTCAGACGACTCGGCCAACCGTGCCCCAAAAGGTGCAAGAAAAAACTGAGGACATTCAGGACAGTTAAAAATGAAATAAGATTAGAATCATATTTCAGTCACTGTAAAATAAGAAAATATCGAGTGCACTTTTCTAAACTAGGAGTAAGTAACCATAAATTAACTATAGAACTTGGAAGACATACAAAGCCACCCACCCCACTACATCAGAAACTATGCTCTACATGTTCAACCATTAATGAGGAAAGACACTACCTACTTTATTGTATCAAACACACGAAAGAAATAAATATACTCTTTGGAAAAGTATCCACACAAAATGTAAATGTCCACAATAATGAAAACATATTATTTCACCACATCCTCTCAAATATTTAGCCATCAACATCAATTGCATATGTTTCAAATGGATGGTGTCGAGCAATAGATTCCCGTGGATCAACCTATGACATTTTATGTATAATATCATCAAATCTGTACTGTTGATATTTTCTATGCATTAAATTATTTCTTTGTGTTTTCAGGTATGTATGTCTGTCTGTATATGTGTATGTATGAATTATGATGTGTTTTTTTCGGGAATGGATTATTTTCTGCAATAAATATCCTTTCCAGATACAAATAAATCAGACATAATCCTATTGTACCTATGCTGTCATACAGATCATGAAACAAATATATCCATTACAGTCCCTTCCAAGCCTATGATATTTGGCAAGTCAAGATTACTGCAGTATCAGGGTCTGTACAAATCTGCTGAAATCACAGGCCTTGTAATCATCAGTTAATCTCCAGCTGGCATTAGTGACACCACACCAAGACCTCCTGCTCCTGCTCTTCCCCTGCCACTCGAGCTCTGGCCAGACATGTGTGATGACATTGGAGACCTGGTGACATATACAACCTTACCAAGCTCCGACTGAGTCTTCACAGCCTGGAAATTGAGAGGGGGAGATACTCCAACACCCCAGTTGAAAATAGGTTCTGTCCGCACTGTGACTGCCATTCCGTAGAGGATGAAGAACACTTCCTGCTTTCATGCCCACTATATACAGACCTTAGGAGAAATCTGATGGCACTGGTAGAAATAGGCGACCCTTCCCAGACCGATAAAACAAACCTCTTAAAACACTTTATGAATCCACCAAAAGAATGGTCAAGTCTTGTTGCCCGGACTATATACCACATGTACAAGCTGAGGCCATAAGAAAATTCTATTATATTCGATCCAATTAAGTGAAATAACCAGCAATAACCTAATATACATAAATGTTTATATGATGTAAATGAAATAATGCCTCTATACAAAATGTACATCATATATACATATACCTGTCATATCTATAATTATATACATGTTCATATGTACATAGTCTGTACCCTGCCCTATGAGGGTGTTCAGTACAATAAATTCTATTCTATTCTATACAACCTTTGTATTTTTTTTAGTTGTTTAATTGGTTGGCATTTCTGGTTA